GTGAAAATCTTAAAACAGAAAAACAAACTGACAAACCTTCTGGTGATAAAATAATTTTATCTAAATCTGACTCAAAAGAATCAATTAAATCCAATAAAGGTGATAAAGGCATAGCTAATGTTATTAAAGACGCTCCTATAGTAGATGATTTAATTACTGGAAAGCCTGCATCCGTACCTACTGATACTACACAGATAATAACAACAAAAACCGATACAACTGAAATCACCAAACATGAAACATTAACGGAAAAACATAGTGGGGAGGTTATTGATCTAATTAAATCTGATTCAAAAGATTCTATTATATCAATCTCAAGTGATAAAGAAATAGGTGAAAATCTTAAAACAGAAAAACAAACTGACAAACCTTCTGGTGATAAAATAATTTTATCTAAATCTGACTCAAAAGAATCAATTAAATCCGATAAAGGTGATAAAGGCATAGCTAATGTTATTAAAGACGCTCCTATAGTAGATGATTTAATTACTGGAAAGCCTGCATCCGTACCTACTGATACTACAAAGATAATTACAACAAAAACCGATACTACTGAAATCAAAAAACATGAAACATTAACGGAAAAACATAGTGGGGAGATTATTGATCTAATTAAATCTGATTCAAAAGATTCTTTTATATCAAACTCAAATGATAAAGATATCGATGAAATTGCCAAACATGAAAATATAACTGACAAACATGCTAATGACAAAATGAGTTTAACTAAATCTGACTCAAAGGGATCAAATAAATCCTATAAAAATGATAAATTTATGTTAGAGAAGACCGTTGTTTATGATTCAAACAAACAATTAACTGAGCATTTTGAAGGTGAAATTTCTCAGCATAAAACATTCTCCATTCAATCTAATTTAATTGAAAAGAACTCTGACAACGCCGCTGCTTTCGGAACTTCTATCAATACTTTTTTTGATGACTTTATTGCCGAGCAATGCATTGGTTCTAGTGTGAGATCATCGAATAATATTAATACCGACATTTCATTGAACAGTTTTAAAAATGAATTTATAATTCCCGACTTATGTAATGTAGAAAACTCCGATAATTATTTTAAAGATGAAACCGAATTTGAGCCATTTAATAATATTAATTCCGATACGTCTACATACACCACAGTTGATATTTCGGCTGACACTAATATTCAGGATCCTTCTCATATATCTACTTATCAGAATGTGGATACTTTCTCTCTAAATAAAGATGAAAATGATCGTATTGAGATTAGTCGCTTGGATGATTTGGAAGTTGATACTGTAACGTCAATTGGTAATGATAAATCATCGAATGAACTGAAAGATGCTGCTTTTGAAAAGTCTAATTTTGAATTAAGTGAAAGTTTGTTTGAATTTATGAATGTAACATCTACAACGTTAGGTCATTTTGAGTTTGATCACAGTTTGAATGAATCTGAGGATGTGAATAATTCTTCAATTAATGAGAAGTGTAGTATAGTAGAAGATAATTCTGATTTAAGTAATGAAGATATAGAAAATAGTTTAAAATATCATAAATTAAAAAATATTGTTATTCTTGAGAATGTTGGTACTACATCTCAAACTGACCATAGCGCATCTCCAAATTATTCAATAAATGTTTCTAATAAATTGGATGTTATTGGGAGTGATGTAAATGAAGATAATGTAAGTAAAAAATCGTATGGAATTCGAAGAACAGATATAACTAAATCAGGTTTCAGTTCTTCTAAAAAATCAAAAGATTTTGGAAGTATTAAAAAAGATATTAAATCCAAAGAAATTATCAAAAATGAAAATGTAGGAGTTATGCGTAGTTCTTCATTACGCTCTAATACATCTACAATATCTAAATCATATACGACATCTAATAAATCTAAAATTATGAGATCTGAAAGCACAAAGATTGTTCGTTCATCTTTTGAATCCAAAACATCGATACAAAATGTTAGTGCATTGAGCCAAAGTAAAAGTGTTGGCACCAAATCCACTTTTAACAGATCTTCAAACAGCTTAAGAACAAAGGCTGATACAGAAATGAAAGATTTTAGATCAACGAATTCGTCCAAAAAAATATCACGAAATATTGTATCATCTTCTAAAACTGAATTTGAAACCGTCAATAACAATGAATACAAATCTTCAACTTTCATATCGAAAAACCAATCTTTAAATCAGTCGCTTACAAAAAAATCTAATGTTCGTCAAGAATTGAATACTGAAAGTAAAAACAACCAAAATTTACGTGCAAATGTAACTTCGATAAAAGTTGCTACTAAAATATCAAATGAATCATCGACAAAATCAATTACTACAGTAAATAAAAAAAACTTTTCGAAAATTGAACAAACTCCAGGTACTAAATTGATAGATTCAAAACGTTCATCAAGTAATATTTCAACAAAGATTATACATCCACTTGAATCACAAGATAAAAACATCAAGCTATCAGTAGTAAATAGAACATTAAATAAAAGTCTGAAAAAACCAGAAATAGAAAAACATCGTAAGACAACTGTAAATGAAAAATTAAAAAACAAAGAAGTTATGGAAGTACCCGAAACATCTTCTAAGCCTAAAGTTAAAAGTTATATGGCGTCTACTGAATCTCGTAATAGAAAAGTAGAAAATATTTCTCATGCTCAAAGTAAAACATCTGATGTTTCAACCAAATATCAACGTATAATGTCAGACAAACAAAAAAAAATTCCCACGTCCCCGTCAAGAATACCTATTAAAGACAATTCAATTAAAACGCCGATTAAAAAGAATTTATCACTCTTGGATACACGATCATCATCCATTTCGGACCCAAGAGTCTTAAGCGCACCATCACAAAGAAGTGGTTTTGACTTTATGTCTTCACCTAGAAAAATAAGTCCAACATCATTACCAGTTAGTCCGGCTCACAGATGTTTAAAGGCTGATAAAAAAATCAGTTCAGTGTTAATTACATCAGAAGTCTTCTCAAGCTCCTCAGATCGTGCATCGTCTGTAGAATTAGTATATGAGCAACCAAAACGTTCTCCTAGTTCATCAATGTCCGAACAACAGCCTGCTTCTATAACAGAATCAGTATCATTAGATGATGAGGAAACTACTCATTCTTCAACCTCAGACACCAATCGAGATTCCGAGGTACATAACAATATATTTTTAATACAAACCAACAAATAAACTTTAATACAACAACATTTTCAATTCAAATAAATATACAATTAATATGCATTGCGAAAAAAAAGGTCTTTTAAAATTTTAAATGTGGAAAAATTTGTATGTATTAATTAAACTAATTGTCAGCACATGATAAAGAGTTTTACACAATGCAATGTGTATAAAACTGCAGTAAAAATTACAATTAGTTGGTTTTTACAAATGGGTGACTTTCCCTATCAAGCAGTTCATATTATGATGAATTTTATTATCATAATAACTTATTGTATACATTTTTTGCGTACATATATACATACATAATAATATAATATAATATATACGTAAAAAAAATTTAACTGGTATTTTTATTTATTTAAACTGTAAGGATGACTTAGGGGAGCTAAGAAACAACATATGTGTCTTAAATCTACCTTTAAGTCCAAGGACCTGAAACCTGTCGTTTATTTATATTGTTCTTCGGAAAATACGACTTAATGCCACTATATACAAATCAATCAAGTATATAAACAATTTCTAGTGTAGAAATATTGAATACTTTGTATACTTATAAAATAGATTACAGCAAACCCCTAAACCAATCCTCTAAGGCTTAGAGTCTAAGCTATAGTCTTTTCCACGAGAGAACATGCCACATAATTACAAGAATGGGTCAGTTCACATATTGACGGCAGCCGATTACTTTTGTCTTATGCACCACGGTCGGTCGTCGTCTGGGATATTTGGCAGCATGGAGTGGATGCGACAGCCTGGCAGGTCGACGGACCTCATTTTACATGCCCAGAACTGGCATGTTATTCTCTCGTGGAATAGTTTATACATAAAAAAATGTTCACAATATGGGTACCACCCTCGTGGGTATGTAAAATCAAAAATTTAAAGATGAATGCATGAATACATGCATCGTAGATGTAAGTACCTCCAGTGTATATATACTCCTTAGTGCCATTGTTTCAAGGCAAGAAATTGATTTTAGAGATCCATTTTTTTTTTAACATTTACAATAACATGATATTATAATCTTGATGTATTAATAAATGCCTTTTTCTCTCTATATTTTTAAAAGCACCAAGAAAAGGTGGAAATGCTTGAACTTCCTAGAAAAGTGAAATATCTCTCCAATTGAGCATATTCAAAACTTACAAAGATTGATAGATGCTTATATAAATCGATAGATATGTGTGACAACCATTCTTGTATTTAATATTATTTATGCCGTTACCGTATACGTGTTTATAACAGAATACAATTTAATGAATAGTTTTAAAAAGAATATTAAATTCAAAATCTACAGGAATGTATGAAAATCATTCATATATAGATAATATATAGTCATATATAGATTATTAGTACTATAGTGAATAATAGCACATCAAAATTACATAGTAAAAAATAAAAGTTGTAATCGTAAGAAATACGTTTTAAAAAATGTAAAATATATATAACACAGCATATTAAACACTAAGCAGAAAAAAGTTTAATAAATATTCTCAACTTAATAGTCAATAAGCCGGTTATTTTAAATATTAAAACCTTGACCCTAAGTTTTAGAGTTTCTTTGCATTAAATTCATTGACTTTTAATATTAATTAGTAAAGACACTTGATTTGTACGTAAAATATCTAAAAAAATATAGTATTGCCTTAGTAAATAAGTAATGCAATTACAATTTTGTAGAATTAACTTGTTAGGTGCAGTGTTGAGACTAACCTAGATAAATAGTTGCAAGTTATTTAATACATTATTATCTAGGATAAAAAAAATTCAACTATGAAGATAAATTTATCTAGATGAGTAAATTTGTATTACTAATTATATTTTTATATTATGAATAGTTCTTAACAAACATACTTACATAAGTTATAAAAAAAATTTTATATAACCCTAAACAAAGTGTTATTTAAAATTATATTATTATACGTATTAAATATTTAATTTTAAAAATGTATAATTGATTAATACTTTTCACTAAAAATGATGTCTATTACAACCTTTAATTTAGACATATTATCTGTTTCTACACCATGTTCAAATTTCAAATAGAAGTGTGGTGTAATCTTAAAAAGTTAGAATTAAAAAAATATATAAAAAAAAATTTTTTATCCAGATAAATTTTGATTCAGTTATCTATAATCTTTATCTAGATAATTTGTAGTCCTATTTTCTTTATCAATATCTTGGTACAAAAGTACCTATCTAATCCTAACACTAGATAGGTGACTAATGTTCACAATTTATTAGGACTATGTGATGAGGAGGACCAATTAAAAAGAAATATATTTTGAAATGTGGTAGAGCTTTAAAATCTCTTTTTATAATTCTAAAAAAGTTTTAATTTTTATAAACTCGTTATTTCATTTAACTTTACATTATTTCCACAGATAAACTCAAACATTTTTGACGATTCATCAATAGAGTTGCATTTAGTATTGAGGAAACCTAATCAATTTTTATTATCTGATGAAATGTCCGAAGAAAGCCAAACAAGCTTACCCCAGATTGCAATAACTGCGTATGAGTCCAACGAGGAAGACATTGAAGTAACAAATCTATTAAATGGAGTGAACGAGGAAAATATTGTTAAGATACATGAACCACGATCAGTTTCTCCTAAACCAAACAGGCATAAATCAAGAATTATATTGAAATCTCCTATCACTACACATTTACAAAAGTCACTTTCTCCTTGTTTGTCGGATTTGAATAGCTGTACAGATGTTGAAGTTATGTCAGATTCAGATGAGGAAAAGTTTTATGTACGAACTTCTAATCTTACTCCAGGTCCTATAAATTATTTCATTCTAACAGATGTGGAAGACTTAAGTGAAGATGAAGGATATGAAAAAAACAATAAGGTTATAGAAGAACTTACTGATACTGAACATTTCACAGATGATAAAGGAATAATCAATGAAGTTGAATACACTGAACAACCTTTGGAATCAATGCCCTATTTTCCTCAGCCACACAGAGAAATTTTATTTCACTCGAAAGATGGAACAGTAAGTGCATTATCACCAACAGAAGAATCCAACCCTATATGGCTTAAATCTCCAAATGAAGAAGTTAAAGGCTTTGAATCCGAGGAAGAAATTATAACAGTTGAAGAACATGGGGATACAGAGTCATATATTAAAAACAATAATAATACATATTACCATGATATAGATGTAGGTGTAGTGGAATCTGTGGAAACTGTTAAACAAGATCGATGTAAACATAAATATAAAAATCGAGTATTAACATCAAAAAAAAATATAACGCCTGAAGCAGAATGTGGTAAAAAACGATATCGAAATAAAAACCGGTGCAATTCAGAGATTGAAGAAAACTTTGAAAAACGTTCTGAAGAAAATAAGAAAAAAACACTATCAAAGGTCATGTCAGAACCCACTCTCAGCAATGTGGCCATTCCTAAACAAAATCAAAATATTAAGACAAATAAAATCAGCAACCAAGAAAATAATAATACGTTTGTGATACATGACAACAGAAATGGTTTTAGCATTTCTATTGACTTTCAAAGCCAGAACTCGGTATTATTAAGCGTTGGTAGGGATTACGGAAATTTATCAATGAGATGGTTTAATGATGGAATAATGACAGGTAGGGCCATATCAGATTATAATAATGACAATATTTTAGAGCCATTAGAACCAGGATATCATATTAAGAGTAGCTTGTATGATTCAAAACGAGAATTTGAAGTAGATTTATTTACATATGGAACAATTAAAACCTTTCAAAATAGATATTTTACGTATATTGCTGTATATACTGTCGTTCAGCCTGTAAGCATAGTGCAGTTATATATAAATAGACCATTACAAACACAAATTACAATGGTCAAGAATCCTCTGGTAAAAGTATACTCCCTAAAAGACAAATTTACAAGTATAGAAAGATTACACCCTTCGCCTGTTACACGACTATCAGCATTCAAAATGTTTAGCCAAAAAGAAACAAAAAAAAACACGGAGCAGAAGACAATTAATTTTGAACCTACAAAACATGTCTCTGATGTAATAAATATTTTTGAAAGTATGTGCGGTAGTCCAAAGTTGAGACGAAAATTCAACTTCAAACAATTATCAAATTTGAATAGTAATATAAGGATATGTGATTTAAATCAAAAATGTAACTGTAAGAATATCAAAAAAAAAACCAAAATAGGTAATTACCAACTATATTATAAAAAAGGTGACGGACTAAACTAACATTTAAATACATACTATGTAAGTCACAAAATAAAAATGAATTGAGTCACTAAATAATCAAAAATATATTGAATAACATTCTATTATATACAATTTAATAATAAAAAAATGTTTAGCGTACTAATAATGGGTTATACACAATTTAATACGTTTAATTTACAATTACAAATATTTGAAATGCCCCGTCTTTAAAGTTTTATTAAACCATTGTGCGAAACAGCATGACTATATTAATATCTTACAGCTAAAATACTAATATTATATTAAATATAACCAATTTTGTTTTCGTAAATATTGTTTAATTTTAAATTATTTTATAGGGGATGAAGCCAATCAAACTCAACAACAAAATGCAAAGTCTATAGATAATTCTGGTGAGTCCTTAATTGATAAAGAATTTTAAAAAATTATATACCAAACACATTACACAATTATACGTAAACTTGCAAAAAGGATTAAACAAACCGTATTTCCAAGTGAAATTAACTAAACGCCAATTCCCTGCTTTGCTCAATGTACTGGTAATTATTTAATATAACCAAATGGCTTTTTTAGAATAACAAAACACTGTTAATGCTTAAAAATAAATATTAAACCTATGACATTTTGCACTAATACGTTTTGTTATGCGTTGTTTTAACATTAAACATTTTTAAATCAAAATAACAGATTGTATTTACTAGACACTAGCAATTACTTTTAAGTGAATTTAATTAATTGATGATTTTAATGAAATGAAAACATTTGAATTTAAATTATATAAAAGTATAAAAATATATTATAGAATAGCATAATTGAATATATTAATATGTATATATATTTGGTTTGATTTATTTTTCGTTATGTAAATAATTTAATGAAAATAACATGACCCTTAGATAATTTTTCAAACGAATTATTCAGCCACAACAGGTCATATTATTTTGACAATATATTGATCAATACAGCAATTAGCCACAGTAGAGAAGAACTTGCAAAGTTAGTAAAGGCCGTAGAAATTTTGGAAAATAAAGTCGAAAAGCAAGAACATATTTTAACAAATAATTTTCAAACCGAAAAATCAGATTCGGAAAGCTCATCTGATGGAGTTGGTAGCTTAGACAATGTTCAAAAAAAGATTTATCGACTATTAAATGATGTTCAAAATCAAGAAAACCAAGTACGACATTCGTTAAGTGACATTATGCAAAAAATAAACTATTGTGGGTTTCCAAAACCCAAGGAAATTCAAGGGCCAAGTTTTCGAGGCAATTTTAATACAGCGAGCTTACCATATAGATGGTGGAATAGATCTATGCCTAGTTTGCCGTTGTCAGAACGGCATGTATTTCTATCTGGTTCACAAGACTCATTATCTGAATCATTTCAAATATGTTATTTTACTCCCAAGAAGAAAAAAAAATCAGTATCAAGAATGTCAAAGAATCAAAATTCTGGTTATTGTATATGGCTACCACACAATATAACAGGTGAGGTGTATTGTTTTCGGGTGTGAAACTGGATTTTTTTATAACAATAAGCTACTAACTGCTATTTCCTTATTTCCTTTAAAATTCCTCACATTAAAAAAAAATAAAATAGAAAATAGAAGTAAGAAAGTTTATGTATAACAAATTAATGTATAACTTTTTGAGACATAATCGTTTTCAGAAAACGATCGTACTCAAATAAGACCATTAATGGTTAGAACTCCATCAGAAAATACAGTGCCCGACGATTATGAACATTTGGATGAATGGAAACCGGTTGATTATTCAAAAATATCTCCAGATACTGTACAAGAAAAGTTAAAGACAATGTTGAGTGATCCCGGTAACCATGATGAAACTCTTACAAATTTGCTTATTGATATGCTAATTGAACAAGAAACTGCTAAATTAGCGGCTTCCGGAGAATTATCTTCCGGATCTTCTGATTCAGATCCACATGAAACTCTAGATGTCGAACAATTATCAGATTGTCCTTCCCCTGTCCCAATAATATCCTCTCCAAAAATTCGCAGAAATGGAGTAGGTGGTTCTCAAAGATTATCAGTACACCAAAGACCAACATTTAGAGAAATTCACAAAGATGATAGTGAATCTGATAACGATAATGAATACATAGTAACCGAACCTCCGGAGAAATTACCCGGCAGAAAAGTAACATTTCGATTAGAATCAGAAGACGATGAAATTGTTTACCCAGGACAAAGTGACAGTGAAAATGATTTAGAAGACTGTGGTGTGTCTATGTCTGCTATTAATCAAGCAAGTATCATAGAAGATATGAAACTTGAAATGGATACAGATGTAGGAGAAAAAACATTAAAGAGGGTAGAGAGAAGATTTGAACGTATGGCTTCGGAAACATTAGAAGATAGTCCGATCGCTAAACAAGCTGTTGAAGGAGAATATCATAGAATAATTTCCCAATTATCAAATGAAGAGGTCGATGTTGCTAACCAAATATGGGATGAAGCCGGTAAATTAAATTACATTTAGAAGTTAAATTCAATAATAACGCTTCTTTCAATACTAACAATAGAAAAAAGAGAGAATGGTATAGTAAAGTTGACAGTAAATTGTATATTTTGATACTACGATTTCGATGAAATAGATTTATTTATGTACTCGTATTATTGTATATCAAATTATAAATCAGCGTATAACAAAACAAAAAATAGCACTATAAAATTAGGCTTCTTTGTAGATGTTTGATCTACAAAACATATTTTTTTTCAATTTAAAATGTAATCCATATAACATAAATATCCTAGGACTTGATCTTTTTGGCGAGTTTGTGTTAGTTAGTTAACCATTGTATAAATAACCAATATTCTAATCCTGTATTTTGTTTGTATGTATTTGTGTGTACAGAGCGCAGCCCAGAATTAACAACTAACGCCAACAACTTAGCACTTCAAAACTCCGTAGATAAAATCCCACCTAAACCAAATCCTAGACTTTCCATTGACTGTAGTATGACGTCATCATTAGATGAAGATGATGAAAACTATACTACAAAAAAACAATTTTGGGAAGAAATAACCAAAACTAATCAACCTCCTCTACCAAAACCTAGATATAGTATTTCATTACCAATCAACAATTCAAAAAGACCCGTAATAAACAATGCTTCTTTAGAACTCTTCGAAAATTCATTCGGTGCTTCTGATAATGCAGAAGTACCTGAAATGATCAATAATCTAACGACAAGTAACCAAACTACAGAAAAAATTGTAGTTTCTGAGTTCACTTGTCTGAAATCGGAATGTCTCGATGAACAACTCCGTACATCAAAACCAGAAGATCATAATGATGTTAAAGAAACCAAACGATTAGATTCTGAAACTGAATATATTATTAAGTATGGAGAAGAATCATTAGCTTTTGAAAATGAAGGCTTCCAGGAAGAAGATGTTTTTGATGATAAAGTTTCAGCTAAAAAAGAATACTCGCAGGGTTCAAATAAAAAAAAAATGGACCCAAAAACTAGATCAATGTCATTACCATCTCATCAAACTGAACATATTTCCTCTAAAAAATATATTCAACAAATTAAGCCTCAAATGGAAGGCATACAAATGGAACAAGAATCTTCACCTGAACACAAATCATTGAAAAACACAACCCGTCAACAATCACCAAGCCAAGAAGTTCTTATTAACCGTCAAATTCATAAGCACATATTTTCCAATGAATTAGATGAGCAAATAGATTCATTAATACCAGAAGAAAAATATTTAGGCTTAAAATGTGAAAAAAGTGTATCGACGAATTCGATGCTAACGTCATCTGATAAAATATCTGGAAATACAAGTGGAAAATCAATTACAAAAACCGAATCTGCTGAATCATCTGTACTTGATGATTTACCAGAAGAAATAAAGATAAATAAAGTTATTTCTAAACAATCAAAAGACAAAAATTCGTCAAGTTTAACCCAAGATCAAATTGATGAAATTCCTTCGGACACTTGTTCATTTATTGAAGAAAAAGAAAAATCCATTTTACATACTGAATCAATTGATTCTTCAATGATTGATGATGAATTACATAACGAAATAGAAAACGAAAAAGAAATGTATTCAGAGATTGTGCCAGATCGTATTATTCACACTCCCGAAGAACACATTCCTGATACAATATGGGAAGTCACTCAGCTCGGAACCGACGACCAAGAATTAGAGAACATCGATGACAAAGATCAATGTATTTTCCATCAAAATTTTGTTCAACAAGTTGATTCTAAAGAAAGTTTTGAAACCCCAAAAAAAGAAATGACTGGAGAACTGGCTAGAAATATAGCAGAGCAATTAATTAATGAAATTGAAATCGAACTTACAAAACGTCATGATGTGTTGGCAAACTTACATCATTTAATGATGTCACCTGATCAATTTCAACAACTGGAAAATAGTGGTTATTTAGATATGGAAGGAGAAGATTTGCAGTTTAAAATTATGGAATCAGTATTAGCAAGAAAGTCCAGAGACCAATTGAAAAGTATTTCAAAACACGATACAATTACTTCAAGTATTGAAATTACCGACGAAGACTTGAAAAGTAGTGGTTTTGAGATCGAATACGAAGGATTGACGAAATCACGTTTCACAGAACATATTATTCCAGAAAGTGATTATGAAAAATCGAAAACAAATCCCTCTAATAAAAACCCAGATATGTTTGATGAATCTCGACAATCTTCACATGATGAAAAAGAAAAATATTATAAAGAAGCAAAAGATAATATTATTATTGAAGCTTATATAAAGGAACACCAAAACGAAAATGATAAACGAATAGAATCTCAACAAAAAGATATTTTTTCAAGTGGGCAAATTGATCATAAATTAATCTCCCAAAAACACAACAAAGATACTAAAACCGATGTTTTTGAAAGCAAGATAATCAATGAAAATGACCAAAAAATAGAAACACAAGAACTCGGATCACATTATAATTCTAATGATGGTAATAATATCCACACTATTCTTAATTCAAGTAAAATATCAAACATTGATAAGGGGAAAAAAATCGATAAGAGTGTTTTGGAAAATAATAGTCATCAAATGCACTCTAAAGAATTCTTTGAAGTAGAAAATAAACAAAATATACACGGGAAAACTGGAAATATTATTACTAACGAAAAACACGTTGATACAGTGATAAAAGATTTCGACGATGAACTAATAAAAGAAAAACAGCACTCAGAAAAAACTACTGACGATGGATTAGAAATATGTAATATTGACCGAGAAGAATACCGAGCAACATCTTGCATTTTGAAAGAAACAGTGAATGATTATAAAAACGAAGTAACATTGATAAAAGATGTTGAGCCATGCTCTTCAAAGTCACTAATCAAGCAATCAAGTGCTGAATCCTTTCCTTCAAAAGATAACTCCGTCCATTCACCAACTTCGCCATCGTCGTCTTCAATTGATATTCGAGAAGAAAAACGTGTAAATTTTGACGCTGTTGTCTTAAGAAAGCCTGATTCGATTAATATAAATAAACTCTCAACAAAAAAACCTGCAGATTCCAGCTCAAGTGATAGCCATTATCATTCGTTTGACCTAACATCATCTAGCAGACCGTGTTCGTCAGACATGGACGGCCTTTTAGCTGGGTCATCTGAGTATGAATCTGCTGTTTCAGTACCGTCAAATGAATACCACACAGCAATAAGTTCGCTGAGCTCGAGAGAATCGATGAAATCACTGGATTCAGAAAGTTCTGGTAACCTTGCTTCAGTGGAAAACAGCGAAGCATCTGAGACACTAATTGCATCAACAGGAGATTTAGATTTTGATCAAGAAGGTACAAACTCAATTTTAGAAGATGAAGATAAAATAGAACCATATGAACAAGAAATACCTATGCATATAATTAGAGGAGAATCCTTACCAATTATAGCAGAATTAACCGAAATGAAGTACAGTAGCATGTATAAAACTCAACCATTTTCTCAACCAGCCATAAATAGTGAAAAAAATATGCAAAAAATGAAAAGATCACATGAAATGACTTTTCATCCAATGCCGAAACATATAACTAGTGATAGTTTATCCGATTCATCATCTCACGAAGAAAAATTATTTTCTAGTGAAGATGCCAGTATGAGTATATCAAGTACAGAAGGCCAAGCAATACAAACTGTTGTTGAAGCAATGAATGGATTTCCAGAATCTGGGACATGCAGTTTTAGTTTCAGCGATGAAAATACAAAATCTGTTGAAACTTCCACTATTCAAAATGAAGATGAACATTATGACAATGAAAACAAATGCGTGACAATAATATCATCTTCAGTACCAGTGGAATACGGAATTTCCCAAAATGTATGTACTCAAATGACGACCAAATCAGAGGAAGTACAAAAAAAAGGACATCGAAGAAATAGTAGTTCGTTTAGTAAGATATTGGTTGAAGACTTAGACATTATCGATAACAAAGAAAGTGTAGATACAGATCAACCCAAGGAATTTACAGCTTATAACCAACACTCGGAACATATTCAAGATAAATCTAAAATAACACTTGAAAATATTTCATCGAGAGATGTGCATGATTTGGAATCAGAAAAAGAAATTCCTTCAATACATGATAAACACAATTTCGATATGCACGGAAGTATATCTGACAAACATAGTTTTGAACACATTGATGATATTGCCGAATCAGATGCCGCTTTTCAAATGGTACCTCATGTATCGCCAGCAATACCAGCTTCTTTACCTCCAACAATACCAGAGGATCCTTTTTCAGAAGACGAGGATGATTTATTAGACGATTCTACGGATACAGTTCCTAATATTATGATAACAGAACATATGGCTCCTTTGATTGATCGAGGTTTTCATTACCCAGACTTGGATCTTGAAGCTAAGGAACTAGAAGTTAAATCATCGACCCCACAAACGCCTGCATCGATAAGTAGTAAAGAATCATCAGATACAGATCAAGGTAGAGAATACATAATAAATGAAGACTATGACCCACACGAAGAACCTTCGTGGACTGGTGAGGAACAAACCATTCTTGAAAAAGTAGAAGAAACAGAGGAAAAAGAATCTGTTTCTTTAAGTGAATCATTCGAGTTGGTGGATAATGTAGAAGAAAAACTTGACAGCTCAGAAGACGAATTTGTAGTAATAGAAGAAATAGGAAAAGAAGCTAAAGAAGAAGATTCTGAAGGAAAAGCCATACAAATTCAAACGAACACAAAAATAATTCATAAAAGTGTAACCAACACGAGTTCGCCTCAACATGAATCAGACTCAGAAAGTCCTGGATCAAAAAGTCAACTTGAATTAGAGTTTGCAAATCAAAAATGGGTTGAACTTCAATTTGAAGATGACAACACTATAAACGAAGTTTATGGATATAATATAGAGTATGAACGACCCCCTCTTGAAGATATCAAAGAAGAAGATACTGATGATTTACAAAGCAGTAAAGTTGGGAGCGTTGGAAGTCAAGTCAGTCATTCAATTGATAGCTTTGGCAGTATGAAAGAATCATTTAGCAGTACTCCAGAAAGTAAAAAATACTTAGGAAAATCATTGGAGAATGATAATATATCAGTGAATTCACTACAAGAGTTTGAAAGGTTAGAACAGTTGGTAAGAATCGAATCAATGAAAGCCAAGTCTTCGGGATCTTTAGCATCAACTACAAGCTCTTCTAATAGCAGAAAGGATGATTTATCATTAGCTTCTCTTAAAGATTTTGAAACAATAGAGGCAGCTTGTTTTAAAACTGAATTAATTGAAAATAAAGCTTTAGCCACCGAAAAATCATTAGATGACGAAGATATGTTTAAAATCAATGAAATTATAAAAGAAGCTGAGATCAATTTAGAACAAAACGAAGATAATTCTGAAAAACATGTATCAGAAGATGATAATTTGACTAGTACAGAATCACTTGACTTAAAAACAATTGTTACCGAAATGAAAGTATCAGCTTCTCTTGAACATATCTCAAATACTGGTTTTATGGAAGGGAAACAAAATGATTATGATGACTGTATGAACTCAAGTGTTTCAAGTCGTGGCTTTAGTAGTCCAATTATGGATGATCATTCAAAAGAGTCATCGTACAGAAACAGTTTAATTTTAGGTAGCAATGACTCACTAGGTCCAATAAGTTCCACGTCGACGAATGCCACTTACCACTGTGAAACTGGATCCAACATGTCTTCTAGTTTCACAAGTGGAGGTTCAAATACTATGGTGTCCAGTATGGAAGGCCTTGACAAAACTGGAAGCAAACATGATTGGTTTGACGAACACGAAACTTTTGAAACATTCAAAAAGGATCCAGATGGAACAGAGTTCACCCATAAAGTCATACGACTGCCAGCTGAAATGCACAAAGTAACGGCAAAAGGACCCGAAAAAGAAAAAATTATAGAAGATTTTGTAGAATACTTTTCACCTGGAGAATTCCAACAGGATATGGAACGTACAGATGAGCATGGAAATATATTTGTTACACGAATTGTACAAAAACGAATGGTTTTTGATACCGAAGAACTAGCAAGTAAAGGTGTTTCTGAAGACGAATTAAACGAATGTTTAAGAAAACTTTCTAAAGACTCCAATAATGGATTTGAAATCAGTAAGAAAACTTCAACACACATTGCAGGTATTACGTCCATTAGATATATAATATAGGTCATCTTCATCTGTACAAATAAAGTCATTGTATTTTTCTCAACTATTCCAATTCTATTTCTTCTTAAACCTATATTTTAATAACCATTGCATGCTTTTAAAATAACATTTCAATTGAATATTTGAATTTTCAATAACAATTTTTCAATAATATAACACTTTCAAATACCAATGTTTTAGATAAATAATATCATTGAAATGTTATAGGGTCGTCTGAAGAGATAAGAGGACCATCAAAGTATGATACAAAACAAGGTAAATAATTCAAATAAATAAAAAATGCATGAAACAAAAATAACTTTAATTTATAAAAAATTCCTACTATGTAGCTCAGAGAATTAGATGAAAGCAGGGGCGTCTCCAGGCGGGACGAAGGGGTCAGCCCCCTTCTCCCTAGTGGCTTTTTAAAAAATGTCTGTTGTTTATGGTTAATTTTTTTGTAACTTGACTTAAAAAACTTTAAACTTTAACTGAACTGAATTTTCTTATTTCATTAATATTAATAATATGTTATATAAATTATTAATTATTTAAGCATATACATTCTAATTACTAATTATAAATTAAATGATAACATTTTAAAACATTGATATCAGGTATATGTATACATTACTGTCTTAATATTATGTCTAGTTAAAAATTTCTGTACGCGACCTTTTGAAGGATGACGCACCTACTGTTGTCTCCATCCTATAATGCGTATTGCGTAACATCGAATTTTAAGCTCAGAATAATCAATTTTACTCTCGTTGTTTTTGATATTCGAGTTATTTTACACCGTAATAAAATTTAAAGGTGTGAATAATATTTAAGGCCTCACACAGATATTTTTTGACATTTTTTTATTTTTATTTTAAAACAAGTTGTAAGCAGTTTATAATTTTAATTTTTTTTTTACCTTGTAAAATCCCTACCATAACTTGTTTGAAAATTTAAAAAACTCCTGCTTAGTGAAATTCTTAACATTAAATTTTATAATAGGGCAATAATTCAATAAAATATTATTAATAATGTAGGAAAATAGATTATTCTAAGCCCGAAATTTACTATATTTAGCATTGGAGACAACACTTGTGATGTATGACATCCTCTTAAGACATAGGTACTTACAATAATAAATATTTATTTCATAACAACTAATTTGCAATTTAAAACTATATGCAAAGAAAAAGTTTAAACTTTTAATATTCGTCTACCCTCCCTAACTCCCCCACAAATTGGTCTTGGGACGTCGTTGTATAGAAGATATAATTTGTTTAATATATCTAAATGTATAAATAGTAAAATCTAAATATTATCTAAATGTATAAATAGTACCTACAGTATAAACAATATCTACATGTATATATTTAAATAGTATACGCATTTAAACAAAAATACAGCTGAGTCTCGATAAAATCGAATGTCAAAGGAAATAAAAATAAATTCGACTTATGTATTTTTCGAGTTATCTACCTCAAATCAGAGCAGTAGACACAGGGAGTTGGGAGTTAGACCCCCCCCCCTCACAACATGGAAAGTATATAATTGTACTTATTATATGACATTTTTATGATAAACCCCACATCCCCCACATTAAATTCCTACCAATGGCACTGCCTCAAATACAACTTAAAAATACTCCAATTATCGAGACTCGACTATACTAATATTGCGCATTAGATGAACAAGCTCGATCAGAGCTAATATAAAATAGTAATTTAGAATTTAAGTAGTACTTATCTTAGTAATTAGATATAGATGCTTTTTTGTGGTGATTGGTAGAGTTGCAAGTGGCCGCATCAAAACCGGAGTTGAAGTGTGAAATTAGTATGGACGACGATACAGAAATAGATCTACGCGAGCATGACTGGCGCTTTCAACATCAAACAAATACCGGTTAATAATCAAATTATTAAATAATACAACTTAAAAAAGAAAAATTTAATTGACAAATATTTTAAAAGCATTTATCTCATTTGTCCACATTAATTTAATTTTCTACATAAAAAATTAACTTCCTATATAATGTTTTTTTATTATTCAATACCATAGAATTATAATACTATATATCAGTGTTTCCCAAATTTTTAATCCAACCGACATCCATCCACTTAAGAGTATTTTAAAAATGACTGAGGATCCCATAATAAAAATAACTTAACCTAACAATATACTATTATGTAATAACAATTAATTCGCAGACCCCCTTCGGTGTACCCCTAGTGGGCCCGGCCCACTGGCCATAGTTTGGGAAATGCTGCTATAAATCAACCACATTCATTTTGCATTATCTTAATTAATAATATCATTGATTATAAATACTAGTTTATATAATCAATGATAATATCATGAAGGCTCTTAGAATATTCCTCAAATAAATCAATAAATCATACTTTATAGCTATATCAATTAAAAAAATCAGTTGATATGATTAACCTAAAACATTAAAAATACTTTTACATACATAAGTGTTATTTATTCAGAATGCTCAAGGCTACTTACTTGTACGCTTAAATTAGGTATTTTTTTTTTTATTAGCTATTAGTATACAACTATGACAGCTCGTATTTATACAAGTAATTTGTTTTTTTTATGTATTTAGTATTTTTAGAGTTTTCAAGTATGTATAGAAACAAAATATTTACATACCTTATTTGTGCCATTTAATAACTTTCCTGTAGCTACACTAAATTTTAACTCTAAATACAATAGTCTATATATCAATATCTATATTAATTGGGTTAGTATTTTTATAAAGGTAAACTAATATCAATACACTTGAATACATTTTACTACCTGTATATAATGAATAACTATAGGTTTTATATACAATGCACATAGCTGTTTATAATAGTTTATACATCCATATGAGTAAATATTCAATAAAACCAAGGCACATTTCTTCAATGCCATAAAAAAATTAAAAGTTTAAAAAAATAAGTCATAATTTTAATAAATACATAATTTAAGCATAAAATGTAATAAGCAAAAAGCATTTTTAATAAATCCCCTTAGAAATGGATTAGCTACTGAAAGATATATAATAACTCAAGAGTTGATATTAAACACTGTTGAATTATTCTGAATACATTAAAATGTATGCAATTAAGTAATCTATACTTATGCAACTTTGGTATTGGTGTCTACATATCTAAGAAAAATAGCTACCTTCATAGGTACATTACCTACTTAGACATAGTTTTGAACCAACATAAATATAAATGTACATGGTACATATAGTTTGCATCACTTAAATGTTTCATTTTATTATTATATAATAAACTATAGAATGTGTATAATATATACAAGTCAAAGGCTTAAGACGTTATTCATAATAATATTAACAAGTGATTGTAAAATAAACAGTAGCACCATAATCCTTAACTAAGAATATAAAATAATATTAATAATAATAACTTACAAACTATCAGCAATATGTTTATTGGAATAAGTTGCATTTAATTGTCATGTTTAAATATTATGATAACATTGGTGGGTACCTTACATAACTTAATCACATGCTATAAATGCAATATAAAAGTTTTTTTTTAATACCTAGTCTGGGTCTTCAACAAAAAACAAGGATATATCAACCTTCAGGAGATCTAAAACTTTTTTTAATTTCTCAGGCAGTCAGGCCACATTTGTTTTAAAAACATGTATTAAATGATTAAAAAATACATGCTATGATAAAATTTGTGAGCTTCAAATAAAGACAGGACGGGCAATAGATTGAAGAAATTTGACCTACTGTATTGAAAGAATACCTCAAATCTGTAGTGTTTTGAAAGAATTTAACTAATTATTTTACCTTTTTGGAACAACTAACCAAAACAGTTCCTTAGTTTGTTTTCAAATAATTTCTTTAGAATTTAAAGACCTTGAACCCTGTACTTATATATACTCATATTATTATGCAATGCAACTTTCATAAATAAATTACATACAAAAAAAAACTTTAAAATTGTATCATAAGTAGTACTATTTTAGTACATACCTAGATACCATACCCAGTTGTAGAGAGAACTAAACACTCATACAGTAATTCCTTACAAAGATATATTGATCGATTTTTTAATTCTATCTTCGACCCTCCGTCAAAGATGAAGCAAAACTCTACTATAAGCGGTTTCACAGTAGGTTACTGAATCATCCTAACCCTCTTATAAAAAATCTAGTAGTCCCTTCGATCCCGGGTAACCCCTTCAGATGTCTCAAACGTAATTGGTGTCGTGACCTGCTAAATGCTTGATTCCTAGATCAAATTTCTCCTAATAAACTAAACAAAATAGGTAGTGTCATCAATGGGTGGCTTCTTCCGTCATATTACTCATGTGTTTTTTTTTACTCTTATCTAATTCGCTTATTATTCTACGAATAGATTGTAAATATCTAGTAAAAATAAAAAAATAAATAAAAAAATCTTCCACCCATGGTACCTACTCAAATACTGCAATATATTTCCTATTAAGTTACATAATTAATAATTTACATTGTACCTACCCACGTACTTAAATTAATTTTAGCATACTATGCACAGTAAGCTTTTTCAAAAAATCATAGTACAAGTGCTTACTACCAACAACAAATTGCAATAAACTTCTCAACATTTATTACAATTATTCATCATTCATCAATATTATATAGATACATAAATTTTTTTTTTTTAATCTTACCTTAACCACAATATATTTTAAACATTATAATTTACAGATTTTAAATTTTGTATAATAGAATTAGATATTTACAAAATACATACATTAATGTCAAAACTATAAACTGAAGATGAATCATTTTTGTTTTAGAAACTGATGACATTACAAAGCCAAGTACATCAGGATGGTATGTATATAAGTGTAAAATAGTACAATATTAAAATACTAAATAGTAAAAATAATTAAAATAATGAAATATAAACAATTTTACTAGTTCAGACATAATATTAAGTTATCCCGGGAAAACCCAACAGAAAAAACCCATGGAAAAAATTTATCATTTTCGTTGCCATTTTGTTTAAACCTGTTTAAGATAGTAGTACAACAAATTGCCCGTCAAATAGTTTTTTATTCAATTCACTGTTTTCATGATTACAATTTAAAAATTTATATTTAAGTGTTATAAAAAAACACAAGAACTTAAAGACTGTTTACTATTTATTGTAAGTAAATAACGTTTTACTGTGAGATTACAAAATAATAATATCTAATCGCCTAGGGCTTAGCGCCATTTTATTATTAATTACATCCACATAACACATTGAGGAGTAGGTATGTCCCGATGAATAGACATCAATGGCAGTCCATTTAGCCTATCCTTAATACAAAACAAATTAAAAATATACTGTATAGTTGGGTTATAACTTTTATTTAATAAATATGTCCTAAATAACTTCATACAAACTACAAAGTTAATCTTAGATAAGTTTTCAACCTTTTTAAGGTCGAAAGCGAAACCATAGAGTAAGAATATGGGTCAAAACCCATATTCTAGGAATAGCTGTAGATACTGGCATTGTAAATTGATATTTGATAACAACAAAACTCACGATATATTATCGTATTATAAAATTTGTTTTTCTTAATCATGTACAACATAAAATTTAACATGTACGAAACACGAGTCAGCGGGAAGGGCCTGGACCCCATGGCTTCTCCTCCCCCCCTTAAATACGTCACTGTACCCCAGCATGTACATCCATATAAAGATATAGACATTGAGCCAATTGACTTTAAAACAGACATCAATGATCATTCTCTAACTGGGTGTCGCGTCCTATAATAATTATTAAGGACCGCCAACACGTCATGATGATACTCATTCAGCATTCATGTACATCAGTCTTACCTAATCTTAGGCATTACAAATTTTCATTTTCACAACTATTTAAGGATTAATAAAAATATATATATTAACTTAGGTAATATGTTATAAGCCCCTCCTTAGAAAAATTGTCTGGATTTAACACTGCGTCGACGGTGGCCGGTCAATCATATTGTCCGATTGTCGTGTTTATATTACAATATATTCACAAAACTACATTAGAATAATAATTAATAAATAAATAACCATGTTGGATGTTAACTTATTTTGCTATAAAACTCATACTAAAATTATATGAATCGTTATGTAAACTTCTTACCCACCTAGCCATCTCATAACATTATTAAAATATTTATAACTTTTACCTTTTAAATTCATTAAATAGGTAAAGAAACTAACTACTGTCCATATACATATAGGTGGGTACTATAACTATTGGTCAGGGGGTCACCAAATGGCAACTGGTGAACTAATTTTATCTAGTCAGAAGGACAACAATTAATTTTGTTCACTATTATTTCTGGTTGTACCTAGTTAAAATGTTTTTATTTGATTGTTTTGATTTTGCCTTTCTTTTTTTGGATAAACATATACATCATATTGTTATGACCCAAGAAAGCTTACAAACGTCGCCCTATAAAATATTAATTGGTGATCCCTCATCCCCACTAAACTGTACAGTACAGTTCCCTGGTTATAGCGACAACAGAAGACCTTTAGAAATTGTTTTAACTATTAACTTGCTGTACTGTATATAGCCTATTATGAACTCAACCATAAAGGTTAGGTTAAACTACCTACCTACCTAATATATGGACTAAGTACCTTAATGCAAAATTAAAAATAAACAATACATATATAATATATATATTGTTAATGACTAATGATAGGTAATCGGTTTATTATTTTCAGGACTGGAAAATCGAAACCAAAAGAAAATGTATCTGAACTGTAAAGTCAATAAAATATGATTTTGAATTTTAATAATTGTATACATCACTATTATTATTAGAAAATGTTATTAAATAATGTAAAAACATTTAGTAGGTAAATCTGAAAAAAAAATGTAAATGGAAAGCTACATTCCAATGAATATTTGAATACATGTACTTACTTAAAGTATTAATAAATATAATAAGTTACTATCATCATTTAGGTACCTACCTACTATACCTATACCTAGAAATACCAAATAATTCTATGTTGCAATTTAATTAAATTATAAAAGTAGGTACCTACATTAATGTTCGTACCTATATAATTTGCGTATTTCTGAATATTTATTTTTTAAATAATGAATTATTATTTAGATAATTATTATAATAATATTATGTTATATGTATTCAAATATTTCATATGATATTGAAATTAACCATTTTTATTTATGTTATATCGCTTAACATTTGTCTCTTGTTTGTCTTACAAATACTTTACTATATATACCTATACCTACATGGCTACATCTAGAAGTTAGTCAATACCTATACCTATATTTTATACATATAATAATATGTATGTATAATAAAATATATACATATTATTATTATTCATATTTATCCCATTATTATAACTTACTATTGATATTTTTATTTGAACTACAAAATAATTTATTGTTACCTATTTTATGTCATATTTAACTTAATGAAATTTTGTCATCTTGTATAAAATTTACTTTTAAATAAAATGACAGCCCATTGCAATTAAAATGAATAGGCAAAAACATATTGTTATTGTATCTATATAGGCTGTGCGTTATTTTTGATGAATGAATATGATGCTTTTAATAATCATTAAATGTGTTTTTTTTTTGAACCTATATCCTACCATAAATAAAATAAAAATATTCTAGATACTTATTAAAAAATTTGGTAACCAGTATAATATATAGTATAACTATCAATACGCACTGCGCAGATTGACATTGGGGTATGGTGGGAAGCTGCAGCTGCCGCTACAAGATTTTCTACTATGGTATTTTTTACTAAAAAATAAGGTTTTCAGTATAAAAATTTTAGATTATAAGCTTAGCGATGAATGTAGGTATTGATATCTTACAACGAAGTGGCTTCTCTCATGTGACTGGAGATACTGTTTCTAGTAGAAAAAATAGTCTGATCATCAACTTCGAAAAATGGTTCTGGTAGCAAATTTTATGTAGAAAATCTAGTAGGTTTTTTAATTAGTCGGGAGAAAAAAATATGAGCACTTTTTAAAATGTTAATTCTATTATTAAAATAATTGTTTGGTAGCGTTGGTTACCAAAAAGTTGGGACAACTTCACTTTGAGTGTCTTCGATTTATTTAAGCTTAAAAATTGAATAGAAAGCTCTCCATAAGTTGTTATTATAGCTATTTAAAAAAAAATAAAAATATATATGCATAAATTAAATAGCAAGACAAGTTGCATCTAGAATACAGTCAGGTAATATACGTGGTTTTATATGGGTCGGCAAAGATATTATATACCCCACATTAAAATGGGTAATTTATTATATATATTTATTTTTCTCTATGTTTGCAATGTACAATCAATAAATAAGGGGCACAATTAGTATATGTGTTAAGAGTAAGATATATAATATATACATATTAATATTAATTAGTCATGTTTGTAACAAAGAATAATTAAGTCAAGAAGATCACAAGACAATTTTTATTTGGGAGAGTTCCCAGGAATGGAAAATGCTATGAGTACAACGAGTATGGTTATTACGAGTTACCGTCTATAACGAGTAAAATAAAACAAACTTGACTAACGACCTTCCGGTTCCCACGAACAGTTACCTGCAAGATAAGAACTTTTGGCTATTATTTAGGTTGATTAATCATTGACGTACATTATCATTAGTTGTGTAGGATTATTTTTTAATAATAAACATTATTCCTAAAAATTCTGCAGTTTTCAAGTTAATACAAATTACAAATAGCATAATCGCAAAAGAATTTGGCACCTCTTCGTCGACAATTTCAACCATAATGAAGAACTGGGACACGTTGAAAAATATGTTACTAAGTACGTCACTTAATGCAAAACGATTGTGCACTAATAAATAATTAATAATAAATGTATGTTTTAATTTATAAATAATGTATGTACATACATGAATAAATTCAGTATTAATATTGATTATAAGTAAAATAAAAAAAGTCGTCTTTTTATTTTTGTATTTCCCGCTTTTAATCGGTTACAACGAATGCTCGTTCTAACCGCATATAACGAGAAAAAATAGTTGGCCCTTGAAACTCGTTATAACCGATTTCTACTGTACCATTTGTGGATATTTTTAAACAAAAATTATAAATTTACATAAAAATGCATAATATATATTTATAAAAGCATACCAAAATTAGTATTTTTTTAATTAAAAAAAAAAAGATTTATTAAATATTTGAAAAATTACTATATTATAATATAATAAATTAATAAAAATGATGTTTTAATAATATAAACATAAATAATCATAGATTAAAAGCAGACATTAATACAAAAATAAAGTATCAATAGATTGCTCAGCCAATAAATATTTTAAAACGAGTTCTTGTTAATTTTTGAGTAGATTATTGACCTGGGGCAAGCAATGATTTTTCCATAAACTTCTTACGAGCAAAACATAACCACCATTTAGATGGTTTGCCATCATCGGTTGAAAATACTTTTTCGCAAACTCGTCGGCCAGTTTCCTTTCGTAATTGTTCCAAATATTGACGCATAACATCTATTCAAAAATAACAATTTTATAAGATTAGTATACCTTGAAATATAAATGGTTAAACGTCAAACTACCTGCTTCACCAGTTGAAGATGGTTTTGCATAAACTGAGTTTAATGGAAATCCAGCTTCTCCAGGTATATCAAATCTATAAAGTGCCAATGAATACATTTCAGACATTCCTTGATCTTTACTTTGACATTTCTGCAGTTTTTTTAAACACTCAGTTATGTATAAAGTAATGTAAATTACAACGCGATCAGTTTCACTCTAAAACATTATCGTTACTCTCCATATAAACATTTATAATTAATACAATGTTAATTCATATTATACCATATAAAGTTATGCTATACCTTAACTTCGTAAGATCTAAAAAATACATTTGCTTTAAAAAAAGATAATGACTCGTCTATTATATCCATTTCTGCAATTGTAGGGCTGAGCAAAGGTGCAGGACCTTTGTATTGAGACTTTATTGGAAGTATTGCCATATTTCCAGTCAGTTGGTGGAAATCTTTTATACTTGAATGATAAGCCTAACAAAAAAATTACAAATAAATATATGATTATAAAATTTAAAACTATAGTACAATATGGTGAAGTTATATTATATTTTATTCCAATAGTCCTCTAAACACCTAAAACTATTTATTAAATGTTTCTTTGTTTAACGTAGTTGATCATCTATACTATACTCTCAAATGTATGAATAGGTAATTAAACATAACTAATTATCTCCTTATTCAAAGTTATAAGTTCATGAATTATAGACTAGTTGACTCATAGTACATTTGTAATACAAATAAAAAATTATTTAAATCTAACTTCAACTATTGTTTAATGCATAAATGATTAGGTAAAATTATAGGTAGGTAGATAGTACCTAGGTAAAACTCAGTCGGTCATACTTACTGGCATTTTGCTGCACCCTTTCAAAACAAATGAAACTGTACACACCAATATTATTGAGTCAACTATTTATTGCCTATTGATGATGAATACAAATGAGTAAATGCTATTTAATGGCTATTTTTTATGAACACGGGTAAACGGACAAAAATTTAAAAAGATCACAGTTTAGTGTTACTATAAGACTATATACAAAATAAAATTGATTTCAAGACAAAATAGACTTTTGTCATTTCTATTTTGTCATGATTGATTGTAAAATAATAATATATCAGTGACTACAATAATAAATAATGTTTTATCAGTTTAGTTCCTTTCGAATCACGAATTAAGATCTGATTCGTGGTTATGTAGAACCAAAGAACAAGTATTCAGAACATATGTTTTTATATGATAACAATTTTCATACCTGTTATCTCTATATCAAAATTCAAAATACCTATCGCAAATGTTGAAACTTGAAATGTGAAATAAGTAGATGAAACAAATAATTATTAATTATAGTGATAATTATGTTAAGTTAATTTAAAAATGTAAAAAAATAAAAATTATTTGCTTCAAATTTGAACACTGAGGTAATTCTGAAGTAACACAAGAATAAATAAACTACAAAATGTTATTAAGAAACATAGTAAGTTATCAAATACAAAACTTATAAAATAACACTTCTTTATTTGTAAAGGCATCTTTTACCCTTCTTTAACATTTTTTTCTAATGTTCTATTTATTATTATACATATAATCATGTTATTATTACTTATAATAATGTTGTATATGTATATATATTTTTTTTTTTTATAGGTATAAATTGTAATATTATGTGGAGCAATAGTAAGAGATTATTTAATGGTTTTAATGTAAATACAATTATTTGTGTAGCTTACAAAAGCCATTATGAAGTGCTTAATATCTCTAAATCTGCCACACATAAAGAAATAAAAGATGCTTATTATCGACTATCAATGATATATCATCCAGATAAAAATAAAGGAAGTGAAGAAGCTGCAAAAAATTTCCGTGATATAACTTCAGCATATGAAATCTTGGGAAATGTCCGTCAAAGAAAATTATATGATAGTGGAGCTAACCTAAATCAAAATTCTTCTCCATTTAATACTAAACAAAAACCTTTTGAAACAATGCATACAAAAAATGATATTTATAAAACTAATAACCGTGGCAGAGATTATAATTTTGAAGATTGGTCTAAGGCTCATTATACAAATGTGTTTAAGCGACACTATGAAACTCGAGAAAAACATACAAGAAATAAATTGAATGATGAATATGCAGCACGACAAAATTCATATAATTTATTGACAGTTATGGTTTTTACAAGTGTTTTTGTTTTGATTACAATGTTTGAACATGTGAAAAAAATACTAATTGAACGTGAAAGAGTAAGAAAAGTTTCTGAAAAAAATATACAAGATGATTAACATTAATAATTTATTTTAAATTGCAAATAGTTTTTTAATTAGGTAGTTTATTAAAAAATGTATACAGATATTTATATTGTTATGTGATTATTTTGAGTCTTAATTAATTGATGTGTATCTTACCTCACAACGGACACCTATTTCAGATTAATATCAATCAGCAAATAAAATGATAAATAGTAAATTCTTAATATAATGTATTATGTTGTATCGTGTATAATTGTAAATGTTGAGCTATCATAGTATATACTAATAGCTAATAAAAAAAAAAATTCTTTATATTTTCATGCTTTTAGGACATTCATCTGATTTAAGAAATTATGTATTCACTATAATATCTCTTATATTTTATAAGATTTTGTAAATCACAGAACTAGTTAATACAATTTCTTTAGGATAAAATTATGCCTGATTGCCTAAGTTTTTATTGTTATTTACAATTTCTTAACCCTCCCACAACCCGTATGTGTTCATAAAAATTAATTTTGTACTCCTAACTAATATTTCTTGGGCATTAATAAATCCACTCTTAAAACTTCTATGGCCGTCCTACTACAATGTTACCGTCTTTAAAGTTTTCCTATGTTCTATACCAACATTTTACGTTTTTCTATTACTATTTCTGTACTGAGGCTCTAAATGTGATATTTAAACTTCAATTCCAAAAATTAAATTTCTTCATTTTAATCTTATATTTAGCTAAACCTATACAGACACAGAGTGATACGGCCTACAAATCACACAAGGTGAATAATTGAAAAAATCCACTTTGAAATTACAATGCAAAAAAGAAAAATACAGCAGAATAAATAATAAATCATAAGACAATCACCAACATTATCAATATAATAGGTATTAATTATTATACTAAATATTAAATGATAATTAATATTTCATCATAGTATATGACATTCACATTATGACCTATTCTACTATTTTCTAAATTGTCTGCCCTTGACTATATGGATACTGGATGATAGTATATAATATAGTTCCAGACTTCCAGTGGTCTACAAACGATATGGCCGTCTACAATCTATATGACATATTTATTAATTTCATGCTCATGATAATAAAATGTTGACATTTGCCGTATTGGGCAATAGTACATAACTACAAACATTAATAATAATATGAACTATACAAATAGTTTTAATCTATTCTGTGCTAATACTATCAAATACTATCATATTATATTCATGGTAACTATAGTTGAATTTATCACATGCAACCAAAGGACAGCTGTACAAAACGTATTATCATGAATCGTCATATAAATGGTTTGGATGACAAGACAAGCTTTAACAACCAGACCGGCTAAAGTCGATACAGTAGTTGTGTTAAGTGTTAAATCTAAAAACAAAACTTGTTGCTTTATTAGTCTATTCACCCCTCACCATAGTTTATATTTTAATCAGTAATTATTCTGCGGTACACAATAACTTTAGTGAAATGAACTCTAAAGTTGTATGAACTGTTTTTACATTTTTCCATCACCGTTTTTCTATTTATTTTCGACAATGAGTATTATATTTAATAGATTTAACAAATCTGTTGCACATTATTTCAAGTTCACTGCACTGTACTCGACCCAAACACATTTTGGTTTTCAAACAGTTGACGAAGCTGAAAAATCGAAAAAAGGTATTTAAAAATCTATTCTAAACGTGTTAATTCTCACATCATCTATATAGGTCTAGTTATGAAAAAACATAAGATATTGCGTAATAAATGGAAAAAAATTCGTCGCAAACTTCGAAGACAAATCAAAGCAGTAAAACGAGAAGAATTCCTTCAAAAACAAGAACAAGATCGTTTAAACTCTCCATCATATCAAAAATGGCTAAAAAGTCAAGAAGAATCTGAAGAGTTTGAACGTAGTGAAAATGAACGGATTGTTACTATGCAATATACAAAATGGGTTGAAAGAGAATATGCAGCTATGGAAGAATGGAAATCGATACAGAAGAAGTTGGACAAAATTAAACAAGAAAAAGCTCAAAAAGAATTATTAATTAAATTAGAGTGGGAAAGAGAACAGAAGAAAATTAAAGAAACAGAAGAAAATAAAAAAAAAGAACAACAACAACGAGAAGAAATAAATGCTAAATTTATTGAAGAAATTGAAATGTATATCAACAATTTGGGTCCGCTGCCCGAATCTATTAATGTTAGTACAAATACAAGACCAGACCAACCACTGTGTCCATTTTTTTCAAAAGTTGCTGCTTGTCGCTTTCGTGACAACTGTTCAAGAAATCATGTTCGACCAGGCATTAGTAATACATTGTTGATTCCTGGATTTTATAAAAATTTTGAATTGAACATGCGCTATGAACGTGAATTTGATATTGATATTAGTTTAGAATGTGATGAAAAAGAAGCATATGAAAAATTTAATGAATTTTTTGAAGATATATTAGTCGAACTTAGAAGTTATGGACAGATAATTGAACTTAATGTTTGTAGAAATCAAGAAATACATCTCATGGGCAATGTTTATGTCCAATATAGAAGTAGACGACATTCTTTAAAAGCATACCGAAACTTGTGTGGTCGTTTCTATGGTGGACGCAAGATAACTGCTGAATTCTGTAATATTCCTTCATGGTCTGAAGCCGTATGTGGGTTATTTTTTAGAAAAATGTGTCCAAAAGGAAAAAATTGTAATTATTTGCATCTATATAAAAATCCTGGAGGCAAATATCAATCAAAACCTCAAAGAAATCGAAATGAAAACTCAAGTCATAGTCATAGAGAAAATAATTCTGGTAATAGGGAACGAGAACTACAGTCTAGAACAAATAAAGAAAAAAGGAACAATTCTCAAAGAGAGAAAAGACCAATGGATAGTTTGTCTCAGAGAGAGGCATCGAATACGCCTCAATGGGATAACACTCCAGATCGGCAAAACAAAAGTTCTGGATCTCTTAACTGGGATAGTGATGAGGATTAAATAATTTCAAGTGATCTACTAAGATATGTAGCTATAAATTATATATTTAGGATTTCAAATATGTGACTGAAGTATCAATAATCCAATTTTTAAGTAGCAATTTATTAAAATATGAATAAAAATTGTTTTTTTGTGTTATCGTAGTAATCATAAATAAATTATAGATATTTGATGTATTAAAATTGCATACACCTATTATAAGTATATATCTATAACTAATTATTTATAAGAATTAAATTATTATTATTAAAAAACTTCAACCTAATATATTCAAATTGACTGAAATATATTTTTGATAAAAATTTAATATTAGAACACTACATTTTACTCAATACCTAACTAAAATAATATAGTTAATGTTAATATTTATTACAAATGTTTTATCCCTAAATATATTTATTTTTATGAATTGATCTTAGACAAATAAATAGCTTAAGCAAATATTAACTGAACTGTTTTCTAACTATTTTGTAACCTAAAAATCATGTAATCATATTTTAGTGCATCAAGTTTTTAAAAGTGTTGCGGATTCGTATGATGCTATGAATGATGTTATGAGCTGTGGTGTACATAGATTATGGAAAGATGAATTAATGAGAACATTGGATCCAAGTCCACGCACACGATTATTAGATGTTGCTGGTGGAACAGGTACTTTTTTAATCTATACGAATTGCATATGATTATTTTCAAAAAAGGTAGCGCTAATAAAAACCTGTATGGGGAGTCTGCATGACTGTAATATTATATAATGGTTTTCTTATCTAGACAGTATCAATGTATGAACAGTTGTTTAGTTTCAAATACATTAATTCTTGATATTGAAAGAAATACTACTGTCAGTGGCGTAGCCAGGATTTTTTTTCGGAGGGGGGGCTGATCAATTTTTTACACAGTGGTGGTTTAGTTTTTGATCGAATACCATGGACCATTAAAATAATTTTTTAATTTTATTAACATTTCGAGGGGGGGCTGCAGCCCCCTCAGCCTCCCCCCTGGCTACGCCACTGACTACTGTACAGAACTTAAAATAAATTAATTTATACACGTATAGAAATATCAATGTATAAATACCTACATTCAATTATGACAATAGTCAATAGACATGTAAGTTCTATTCAAGTTGAGAAACAAATCTAGTAGTAACCAGTTTTTGTTAAAACGGCACTCAGATAACACTTGTCCGTTTCAGAAGTTGGCCACCAAGTATTTATATTAACTCAAACAGATAATAGTTGAAGTCTTTTAATCTTTTACAAATTCGTTCTTAAATGATTTAAATAATTAGATTAACAAATATTTTATTAAACCTAGAACATGTATTATTGTTTTAGGAGATATTGCATTTAGATATTTAAAATATATATCTGATATGAAAGGAGATGGGCATGTGACAATTGCCGACATTAATGGTTCAATGTTGGAAGAGGGGAAGAAAAGAGCATTAAATTTGGAAGTAAATCAAGACAACGTCTCGTGGGTAGAATGCGATGCAGAGAACTTACCAATGGAATCAGATTCCTATTCTGCTTATACAATAGCATTTGGTATTCGTAACGTGACACACATTGACAAAGCTTTAGATGAAGCGTATAGAGTACTTGAACCTGGTGGTAGATTTCTTTGTCTAGAGTTTAGCCAAGTCAATCCAGCAGCTTTAAGATGGTATAACATTTTTTTTTTTTATACTTTTACATAACATTTTATAAGCATTTTTTCCTAAGGTTATACGATCAATATTCGTTCAATGTAATCCCTGTTATGGGCCATGTAGTTGCTGGTCAGTGGAAACCATACCAATACTTAGTGGAAAGTATTAGGAAATTCCCATGTCAGGTAAATATCTGTGAGCACCCTAAAAGTATGGTTTCCAAGTTGCGGTTGTCCGTCTTGGAAACCTTATCTTTAAATGTTAAGATCACAAAATATAATAAAAGGTTAGTTTATGAAACTTGATTGACTCCAAGTTATTATTCTGTACATTTTCTAATTATTTAAATCGGTAAACCACCTCCTTGGTTTGTATTATTACTTTCATAAAGTTTATAATATAACTAGTAAAGTAGTAACTTGTACATATTCCAAGAATTTTAAGAATTCTGTAACTTATTGAATATCAACTAAATCTTTAATTTTGTTATTAAATCATTTTGGATTTAAAACATAATACAATACACTTCACTAAAAATTGATCTTATTTTTTTTCATAGGAAGATTTCAAATACATGATTGAGTCAGCAGGCTTCAGATGTGTCACATACACAAACTTAACATTTGGAGTTGTAGCAATTCACTCAGGATTCAAATTATAAAATTTATAATTCAATCAAAAACAATACTGAAATAATTAATAATGATACTATAATTAAGTGAGAATATAGAACTGTTAATTTAAAATTTTATTTTAGAATTTATTAATCATCAATGTTAAGACGCTACTTGAAACATTCTTGTTTACACCAGTCAAAGAACACAAAATAAATTTCATATATCTATGTTGCAAAAAAAAAAATTTATAAATAAACCAATTATTTAAAAAAAAAATCTATCAAAGATCTATAAGTATCATAAACATATTAATAAAAAAAAAAAATTATACATAAGTAAACAATAACAACATAATCCACTTTTAACTGTTATCTATGTCTGTGACGTGTTCTCATTCCATTGAAAATAATGTTAAATTATTATCGTTGTAATGTTGGACTGCATATAATTTACAAGACATTTTAAAAACTGTTTATCTGGTTACAAAAGTTTTCTTAATATTATGAACATACATGCAACCCAACATAATCTAAGTAACTATTTAAATTATACACAATACAGTCCCAAATTTCATTAACATATTTGCTTTTTAATGGACTAGAAATAATTACAATAATAATATAGTTGACATGAAATACTAATAAAATATTTGTTTACTGTGTAGTTAACATATTTTTAATAAAATAGTAATGCAAGAATGAGAGTAGCCTGTTAAGAAGGGAGTTAAAAACGGCGAGGGGAATAAAAAGAGTATAAGCCATTGTTGATGATGGCACACTCATATATATATAATATATATTAAAAGCTACTCGCACATTTTAGTTTAGAAAAAAAAATAATAAAAATAGTTAGTAATGAGAAAAATTGTCAAGCCCTTCCAATAGATATTGTCATTTAACTCTTAAAAATAATAATTTTCAAAAATGCACGGGGAATGTTATAAATATTGTATAATTTTGGTAATCAAAAATTTAAAAAAAAAATAAAACGAATGGCTAATGCTCATAAAAATATTTATTTTTGTAAGAGTAGATGGTGAAATATTTGTTTTATTTTTTAATTAATTTTTGCATATTGGAAGGGGACATGTGCAATAATCAATTAAAAGTTTAACCGCTCTTGAATAGCAGTATGGCCACCTGGCCCAGATAGAAGTATATGAAGTGCCTCGTTTCATGTGTAACATAACTTCCAAAATTGCGGCCAACAATACAATGCCAAGTTGGATTATATTTTTTGTCGAATTCTTTCTTTATATATGCAGCAATGTCCTATTTAAACAAGAAAGTTTATATTCATTAAGAAATCAAAACCAATTTAGTAAAATAAGGTGGAAATACATAAATTGTATTTTAACTTAACTTAAATACTATTCCTTACACATTTCATTAATAAATACCGTATTCATTGTCATGAATAAACTAAAATAATAATTTTTTAAATAAATATAAATTACTATATTCTCGATGGGATTAAATTAAATAGTCAAAATATTGATATTTTAAAATTTGTAGGAAATTAGAACTATAGCTTGTCAATGAACTCAAATCTATATCTATAGTATGAATCAGCAAACTAATTTGGTACTAGCCGTTGGAATGTTGGCTAGTATGATAAGACAGTTAAAAATTATCTTGATTTTTAATACTTACAATAATTTAAATCTAGAATGAAATTCTTCAATATATTGTCAACCTGGTAAGTATAATTATTTTCTAATAAGATATCTGAATTTACCACAAGCATAACCCAAAAAAATGATGTAAATAAGAATTCATAAATTCTAGATGCAATCACTACCTATTCAGCATTTAAAGTAAGAATATAAAATATATTTTTAAATATATATAATAAAGTAATCAATTACATAAAAATACCAACAACGTTGATACAATTTACAAATTTGCAGTATAAACTATTGAGATCAAAAACAAAATTAATAAATATAAATACATATAAATGTTGGTTCAATGTCTCTTACTTTGATTAATCATTTTCCATTTCAACTAATTAAATAAGTATTAAGTATATACAATTAAAAACAAGCAAATTATGCTCACAATTAATAACAAACTTTGTTTAGGGTATACATTTTAATTGTTAATATTAATTTGCCAATAATTGTAATTTTTTAGTTTTAACTTTTAAAGCTAAGTAGATGCCTATTATTAGTTAGATACCAACAACGAATGATTAATTCCAATCAAGTAGTTTTACATATTAATAATTATTAATGAGGACGAATTAAAAAAGCTACCTATGGAATGATTTCCAAAAAACTTTCACACAGATAATTAAAGCTAACAAAATTTCAATACATAAATTACGTTAAATTTTTCATAATATTATCTTACCTTTTCAATATTATATTTTTCCAGTGCTTGAGTAGCACAATCAACAGCATCTTGCTGCATCTCCTCAGACATATCAGCGTTTTTAATCACTGCCTTGCGATCAGACATCTTTAGTATGTATTGGAAATCAACTGGAAATATTGAATTATTAATTTAGAACTTCAGACGTAAAAACTATTAAAGACGATTAGTGTTTTTAATTTTATTTCTAAGTTACATTAAAAACTAGTTTACAAATTGAATTGGTCATTCGGAACATCAACCAATACATTACCTTTAAACGGGAAATTCAAGGAACTATAAGGTGCTTTCGCACAGATTTGATGAACTCCTTCGACGGCTGGAAAATCCCTAGCAGCGGCTATATCCAACACCTAAATATTTTAACGTTTGGCTACAATAACTCCCAAATTTCGCCGATAAAATGAATGTCGGAGAAGTAATGTTAACAACTCTGTTTGAGTAAAACTCTCGGCTCTCATTGGCAGGGAAACGGCGGTTTCTATCAGCCATTCTACTATCGTCGAACCATCGACCCAGCGAATCGATAAAGTTTTTTATCTTCCATGACGCCTCCAAAAAAACAAAATCACAATCTTTCTATATAATATATATCTATTATTATTATCGAACGCGTTAAAAAAAAAACACGAATTTGTAATGATTTTATATTGAAAAATAATATGAATATCGATGCATTGTGTTGTACTGTTGTGGAACTAACACTGAGTAACACATAATAAGACATCAGGTTGGTCGACAGACGACAGTAGAGTAGTCATCCATTTGTATATTTTCTACAGTTATACAAATTGTAATTAATTAAATATTCATAGCTACTGTACATTAATACTCTTATGTTCGTTTATAGTTATCAATGAGAACAAGTAGATCGTTTATTAAATGTAAATTATGGCAGTAAATTCATCGATTTACTGGCAAACGAAATAACTAACAGCAAGAAATCGAGTATCCGTGGATTTCAAATCGTTTTAACGCCATAATAATATTATACTATACTACTAAAGTAATATTCTCCATCGATGTCCAAATTATCACTCCCCAACACGAACGTATATTATGGCGTATATATATATCACGTAATAGTGTAATACGTATGTCCGTGCTCAACAGTCAACGGTATTATTTTTAGGCTTATCGATTAAACAAAGATGACGTATTATCTGCATTCCAAAGTTTAAACAATAATTTTAAATTTAAATTATAATTCTAGAAGATAAAAACGTCAATGGGTAATCCAACGGGCTAGTCAAATCGAAAACTATTGAAATATCGATTAAGCGGGGGCCCGGTGCGCGCCCAGATAATAATAATATCATTGTAAACATCGATGTTGAAATTTTGCCGACGATCGATGTCGATGACTTATTGACTTCTCGAACGTAATAATTAAAACCGAAGCCTATGTTTAACATAATAAATTAATAAATTATTGTTTGTTGTGTGCATAATTGGTACTATTATGCTTTTGGACCATAGTGCATTGCCATTGTAATTGCCGTGTAACTGTTTTCGGGAAAATCGCTAATTTTATTAGCCATTTTTGCTTTTTCACCATTATCTCTATTAAGCGCTGCACACCGCGCGCGTTCACTTTCGCATCGCCGAGACTGACTGCTGCAGTGGCGCAGTGCTGAGCTGCTGTCAACTGTCGATATCCGCTATCGTCTTCAGACAAGCGTTCTAACTGTTATTTAAGTCATTTATTACACTTTTGAACATTCCATCGCGTTTAACCGATACCGGTACGGTTTTTATATAATACATCGAACAACTGATACATTTTGTCAGCTCAGCTCGCTCGGCAAAATGTCCAACAACGACTGTAGAATTTACGTGGGAAACCTGCCGCCCGACATACGCACGAAAGACATACAAGATTTGTTCTACAAATTTGGTAAAGTGTTGTTTGTCGATTTGAAAAATCAGAGAGGACCACCGTTTGCCTTTGTCGAATTCGACGATCCTAGGTAATATTTCATTGAACGAATTAAAATATTTATGTTACGAATAATGTGCGTGTATTGTTGTTATCATGTACCTACTACCTACTAACTACCCACTTATAATAAGGTAATTAACCTACCTATTATGTAAGATCGATGGTGTATTTTCACTTTTATCATTATTATTGTGTCAAATTCAAAACAAATAAGGGCCTAATAACCACCTATGTAACTACTTTTCACGTTCTCGGTTTTAATGATTTCACTAGGTAGTATAGATAGTTGATTTCAAAATGATTTGGAATTTTTAATGAAATAAATCAATTAGTATACCTAATCATAGGTAGAAGACAATAAATTCTTATATAAACAATTTAGCTTATTTACCTACATCAATTCAATCTCGGATACCTTTTATTTTCAAAATAACACAAGCCAATTTGTTGTGGTTTCAGGCGTGTCAGGGTATTTAATAGTATGCCATAAATTGATATGAGCCTTGTTTTTTTATGAAAAACTACATAACGTTTTTCATTGTACCTGTTTTTGAAGCAAATAATGCAAAAAGAATTCTGAAACATATTTAAATTAATATCATAACAAATTTAAATTTATTTCCAGATTTATCATCGTAAAAACGTTTCACCAGTAGGTGTGATATACCAAAAATATGTCATGAGTTCTAACAAAAACTATCAGATACTCGTCAATTATACATTAGTGTCGTGTTGTAGTACTTTTCTATTTCTTTTTCACTGACTTTTACATACACTATTGATCTTTTTTACTACTTGATAGAAATTAATTTATCTAAAAAGAACATATTTAGAAAATTATATTTTTATATTTAACTCATTATACAACCTCTACTCTTCTTACATCTTTGACTAACCATGATCACAGAAAAATAAATTATGTAGGCTATTATTATAATACCTATAATAGGTACCTAATATTAATTTGGTAATTGTCAATTGTTCTTAGTAATAAATAAACATTTTTAATTAGAGATGCAGAAGATGCAGTTCATGCTAGAGATGGTTATGATTATGATGGCTACAGATTACGTGTAGAGTTTCCACGTGGAAATGGTCCACATAGAAGTGGTGGTGGTGGCGGCAGTAGTAGTGGTGGTGGTGGAAGTTACAATAGAGGAGGTGCTAGTGGTGGAAGTGGAAGAAGCCGAGGTCCTCCAGCGAGGCGTTCTCAGTACAGAGTACTTGTTACTGGTAAGTATTTAATTTTGACTTGTTATGCAAGTTCTTCTTAAAAATTTTAATGTTATTAAATTACTCCATACATATTGAATTTCCCCCAAAAAAAAACCCTAAAGATGTAATTGTCAAGTGTTTCTTAACATTTAATAATTATATGGGACGCAGCTTTTTTAAATTTATTATTTATTTTTGCAAACAATATATTTTACATAAAACTGCAAACATTTATTTATTTTTCTTAGATTCAATACTACTTTTATAACATTAATGCCATGTTGCATGAATAATCACTAACATTTATTGAATCAATAGTGAACTAATGGTCCCTTTTTAAACATGATTAGTAATCTATGACTGGTCTATTACATTTTATTGAACCATTAATTAGTTAATTTTTCATGCGACCTGGAATAAATATTATTACTAGGGCTTGGATTTTTGTCCAACAATTATTGTTTAATATAATATGCTCATATTGATGCACATAAAATATCAAAATATTTGGAAAATTCTTTTTATTGCTCGTTAATAAACACCAAACATATTAAAAGTGATGTATGATATTATGATGATAAAACAAATAATTTTAGAAATAAAAAATACAATTCAAACTATCAACTAACCATTACTTTAATTATTGTATTTATATACATATAAAATTAATGATAGAAAACGTCATCGTCATATTAATTTTGAAATGAATACAACACAAAATTACAAAATATGATTCAAGATTTTCAAAATGGAAACTTGTGAAAGTTAGTGCTCAAAATAGCTTTTAAAAATTTTACCTTTAACCTTTTTATAAAATATGCAAAATAAAGGATTACACATTATAAAACTTCGAAATTTGTAATTAAAATTATTCTAGGTGAATTGTAGAAAAACTCTCAGTTGCTTAAAAATCTGAGCCCTACCTATTACATAATAACCTGAGTTAAATTATTTATTAATTTTAAAATATATTATCTAAACATTTTAGGATTACCAGCATCTGGAAGTTGGCAAGATTTAAAAGATCATATGCGTGAAGCAGGAGATGTATGTTATGCAGATGTATACAAAGATGGATCTGGTGTAGTTGAGTTCTTACGTTATGACGATATGAAATATGCTGTTCGTAAGCTTGATGACTCAAGATTCAGGTCTCATGAGGTTTGTTCAATAATTATTTATGTAACTATTATTTTATGTTTGGTGTATCAAACCTTTTAAAGTATTGAACTATAATACTCTATAACTATGATTTATATTTTAACATGTTTGCTGTGGTTCATAATTCTATAATCATTTAAATGTGCAAAATATCTTTTCCTTTTTTTATTAATTTTAACTGCCAGTAGTGGAGGATCTGAATGAACATTATTACAGTACTTCCAAATGTGCAGAAATTTTTTTTTTTGAGGTCAATTGGCTTAAAAAAATTATTGACACATGACTTGCACACATATTAAATAATTTTTATATGTAGCACTGATGAAAAAATAATAATTTAATCATAATGCTGACTGAATTACAGTATATTGAAAAATAAGCTACAAATTACATCAATTTGTGTCATCCACAATGAACATGTTAAAAAATAAAACAATAGTTGTTTTGATTGTGTATTATAATAAATGGAGTGTTATATCTATAAAGTTACTTGAAGATACCAAAATTATATAAAGATTAAGAATATCTTATCCGTTTAGGTACACAGATAAATTTTGTTTAATAATTTTATTTTTGACTAGGGTGAAGTAACATATATTAGAGTAAAAGATGATTATGGTGGTGGAAGCAGTCGTCGCAGTCGTGATTATAATAGTCGCAGCCGTAGTCGCTCTGCTAGCTATTCACCTAGAGATCGTGGAACACCAACATATTCACCAGTTAGAAAAAGTCGTAGTTATTCAAGATCTCGTTCCCGTTCGTAATATTGAGGATAACCAAATGGTAAAGCATGCTACAATACATAATTGACCCTCATTCCATTATTATAGTGTTTTTTTCTTTTTATTTTTTTTTTTATTTTTTATTAGAAACATATTTTGATAAATTTTATTACGAGGGTTAAACTAAGTTAAAAGTGTTTTGTCATTTTTTATTACATTAATATTGTAGCTGATTATAACTGGATTGAAAATTTGACACAAATAAAGGACACATAGCATTAATTACAAAGGATATATAATTGATTTATTTGCCACCTATTGTCGTCAAAATTGGAAAATATATGCTCACCAAATGGATTAAAATTAGAAAATGTTATTCACCATGAAAAACAAAGTGGACTGTTACTATGAGTTAAAAAAAAACTCCTTTCAAGGAGAATAAGACATATGTAACTATTTGTGGAAAATAACATTTGTATTATGTTATTTACTGAATTAAATGGAATTGTTTGGCATGAATGTGAAGGAAACTACTTCACTTAGGAATACAATGCATACAACACATTTGAAATCTCCTATGCGTAATATCTGGATTTTGGATCTTTCAATTCCAAATTCATCTTTTTATACTAACTATCATGATTATGATACACGTAGGAATATAAACATTAACCATACAATATCTTTAAAATGGATGGATGATGTATCAGTTTTATGAATTAAAAACATAACTCAAATGGACCCTGGATCTTTTGTTAAAAACTGTTGAAAACGAAGACATCCAGGAAATACGTTATTCGTGTAGGACACAAACGTAGGATTTATAATTTTTTTTAAACTGACATACATGGAATTATTTTAACATTGATGGATATTCATTATTCATTGGATGGATCGGGATTTGGAACATCTTTTCTTTTGGACATCCAGGACCTAGGAAGTATAACTATCGGGGCGGAGCATAATAGTTAAAAATGGATTATTCTGAACCTACATAAATAATGGATTACAAATGGATTTAATAAGAGGAGAATAATGGACCATAGGACAAAAAGACATTATTATGGATTCATTATGTGCTGAAAAATATTACATAGTCATATTTTTACAGAACTATTTGTTAGAAATCTAACCATAATAAAATAATTGTGTATGTTATATAAAACTATAATTTAGTATTAACATACAATATTAGTTAATACACAAGATAGGTTTTATTTTTAAAATGCTGAATAACTAGAATTTATAAAAGTTAAAATTTCAACGTATATGAAGAATTTAATAGTAAAATATAACTGTACTTTTAAACTTAAATAACTGTATATGTATTGAATTTTTATTTAAAAATCGGAGTATACTGCTTTAAGTTAAAAAATCAAATTTATAATTTTATTTATATTTCTTAATCAGGATATTATACTCATATGGTGTTGTCTCCTTCTTACTGACACATAACATATTCAATTTTACTATTAATTTAAATTTTAAATAACATTTTATCATTATTTTAAATAACACATTAAAATGTTTTATTCTGAGCTTTAAATGTACTATATTAATATGTGTTACTTTGACAGAGTCAACACTTGCAGGTACAACATCTTAGATTAATAGATTTTATTAAAGTGCAACACACTTAAAAAATATTAAATATAAATACTAAAAATAACAATTTAAAAAAAAAATTGTTTGAGAATAAGAACCTAGTAATATTTCATGTGGGATAATAATCTTGTTAATTTACTTTAAAAACAAATTAAAACTTATTTTTACTGATAAGGAACAGTAATCAACTAATCAATTAAATTTACTATATAATATCATTTAATTTAATAATCATATTATTGATAGTACAAATTACATGTTGATATAAAAGATATTCTACATTTTAATTGATAATCATTACATGAAAAAACATAACGTAACATATTTTGATAAATTGCAAAGACTAATTATAACAATATAAACCACTGTTTTATAGAATTATTCTATTACTATTTTGGGTAAGTTATGTTGTATTTTAAAAAATATATTTTTTTAGGTATATAATTAAAAATATATAAATTATTTGTTGGTGATTACGCAGTTGATTTTATTATTAAAATTAAAATTAAAAAGATTAGATTGGTGTTCAATATAGATAATAATTATTATAGTTTTGCAAAAAAATAATAAAGTGAAAATAAAATGTTTATACTTTAATTAAAACGTTCAAAAATGATTTGTTCTCGGTCATAATTATGTTTTATATACCTTTATAATCTAATCATCTTATGATTGATTGTAGTGTTGTCTATAAATGGATTAATACATGTTAGATTTACAACATCATTAAACATTACATATAATGTGTTTATTTGGTTCTCGTCTGTATTATGTAAGTATTATGTAAGTATGTTTTAAATAATGAAATGTGTTTTAGTTTTTAAATAGCATTTTTTATATTGTTTTTTATACACAGTAATGTCAAAATGTATTAAATCAATAAATTTTACTACACTATTATTTATATAAGCATTCCTAGTGTAATACAATAAGTTTTAATTTTGTATAAAATTATTTTATAACCAATTATTAATACATGATTGCTCTCGGCAATTCAAAATTCAGCTTTAATGAAACTAAAACTAAATTACAAAAATGTTGATTCAAAGAAAAACCAAATGTTTTGACAGATTGAAAGAATTATTTTTATTTTGATATTAAAAATTTCAATTGATCAAATTTGACCTATTGTGAGGCAATTGTATTATTATATTTTGATAGTCTAATTGTATACAACATTTACAACTGGAATAATGTTCTTTTAGTTTTCAGTCAACAGATATACAAAAATTTACACTATATCAATAATATATCTATTAAAATCATTGTAACAAATAATGCAAATTTAGAGTTAAATGTACCAAGTACAACTGAATATTTGTTTTTTTATGATACCAAAACATTCAAGTGAAATAAAAATACATTGAATATGTTCTTATTGAGTATTTAATTTTAAATGTAATTTTTTATGGTTAAATCTATTTTGTTTCTTTAGACTGCCTGTCTCAAGTCAATGGAAAACAAGTCCTTGATGATAAAAATGTATTGCTTTCTATACTGGACTACATCCTTGTCCTCTTGTTTTTAATCAGTGGACAGAAAACAGAATCCATTCACTATGTTATTCAAAATCACTGTACACTGGCCATTTGATCAATACACCAGACATTTTATTGGTATTTTTCTTTTATAAGCGTATTTTGCATGACCCAATCATTTTGAAACCTTCTTTTGAAATATATTAACTATTAATATTGAATACTGTTATAGTTAAACAAATCCATTGTTATTAATGTATCAGTAATTCTCCTGATCTAAACATGTATGATCTTACACTTCCTGAAACAGAGAGCCACTAGATATAGTTAGCAAAAATATCTATTTAACTATAACATGTTACCATTGGTTTGTAATCAATGGTTATACTTTAAATCTATTATGTTTTATACATCATTTTGTCAAAAGAATATTGTATTAACTTTTGGAATTCACACTGTTTTATCTGCATTTGATCTTGTCTAGAATGTTTCTTGCCGGAAATTGGCTAATCATAGGATTAGGTATTTTGGTCATTCCAACCAGCATTCTAAAATATATTCCGATTTATTATTTACAAATCTTTAATATTTTTAATCCTCATAAAATATTTGTATTTTTAGATGTTTAGTTTCTTAAAATACTGTCAAAGAAATGGACGTATCATTTATTTAAATCTTGGAACTTTTAAATATACCAGCTATATTCCTGGACTCTGGTTCATAATATAACATTGTTTATTATTTTTTATGATTTACATGATTTCAGTATTAAAAGTGAAAACATTAAAAATAAAATGTATACTTATATATTGTATCACTGGTTCTTGCCTCTTTGTAATTAATTTCACAATAGCTCATTTCATATTCACGTGTACGAGTTAAAGTTCTTGATAACTACTTTTAAATCTTAAAAAATAAGATAAGTATTAGATATTAGTAATTATTTTTAAAAGCTTTATAAACTTGATGTTTTCGGAAAACATTTAATGTAATAAATACAGAAAAATTACAAGATGGTAACATGAGTCATTAATAGAATATTTCTAATAATTTAGATTAAAGAAACGACTGGGGGTTGAAATTATAAATTCTGCAGTTTTATTAAATTATTTTTTAAATACTGTCCACAAAACGTTATTCCATTTATTTATTTTAAATTTAAATTTGACTAATATTTTTCAGACTTCAGAAACTTTTGATTATACTCACATACCATACATAATGTATACCTACGATCAGTCCCTATTTCGAGTGAATCCCAATACAAAGTGTATAATCCAAAAACTAAAATGTGCACTACAGATTTGAGAAGTGTATACCAAATATTAATAAATAAAACAACTATCTACTGACTTATGGTATACCTACACTATTCATAACAATTGAACATTTTTTTATTTTTAAAAAAGAAAATTTTCTTTGATAACAAAAATTAAATATTTTCAGTTAAATTTTACCAAATAGATCTTTAATTCTCTGCTTTTAATTGTAAAAAGTGAACACGCCAGGTATATTTAGTATTATTATTTAGTACCAATATTGTAAAGAAGATTCCTCATCATATTTTTTGGAAAATGTTTTCTACCTATGAATAATATAGGTAGGTACTAGGTACATAACCAAGGAAAATAATATACTATTATTAACTAATTACTGTATTAATTAAAATATGTAAAAACTCAAAATGATAAATTATTTTTATTAACTGAAAGAATAGGTTGGTGGTCCAAAGGTTAAACGACAAGAAACATTTAAAGACATATTTGAAATATGAATATATAATAAAATATAATAATTATTTAGAAACAAAAAACACCAAAAATTAATAATGAACTAAAATTATTTTATGTTTATACAAATGAATGCTATGAAGAATCTAATATTATATGAATTAAATTTTTTATGAAATATCTTACATAAAATAATATGAATTTATTCAATTTTAATAGTGTCATTTATTTTTAGATTTATATTTCATAAGTATATTTTTTGGTTTGTAAAATAAAAATAGTTAGGTAGTTACCAATCAATAATGTATCATATGATTGTAGGTACACAACAAAATGTGTAGTACTAATTTTTAAAAATTATAGTAGTGGCCCACCATGTTTCTTCTACTCTTTACTTCTTCTACTATAAAATGTAAACAAATATAACAGTTTCGTCACTTAATTTTGCATGCTGTTGTTCATGCTTGTTTACCTAGTGGATTAATAGATTTTTGATTATTTCTCCTTCCTTTCATGATTCTAACATTGGACATTACTTACAACATACCAAAAACAATGTTCACTTTTTTAATACAATTATATTTTTTTTTTCAGCTCATATTGCTAGTTACTACCACACAAATAAGAATACAAGAAGCCTCAGACAATATTTATACTCTTAAATTTTATTTTGTAAGTTGACTGTTTTTATTCATACATTATTTATTTTTGAATTAAACTTTATTTTATGAAATTCTGTACTATTATTTCTTTTGACAATACATTTATTATGTTACATATTAAAGTTATATTGTTTCAAACCAAGTTTTCAAGTGGCAAGTGTTAATATTAACTAACTAAACTAAGTAGGTATATGATATATTAACATCTTGATTATTTACCATTTAAACATAATTTTGAGTTCTTATAAACTTTATCTTCTATGAGTTCATTGAGCGTTTAAGACCATCCCATCTCACATTCAAGCCTCCGTCCTTTGTCCATCACTAACAATCACCAAGAGCCATCTCCCAACAATTCAACATTCTTTTTTATAACATTTTTCCAGTACATCCTTAGTCTTCCTAATCCTAAAGATCTTTTACCAAAATGATTCTGTCGTATCACTACCCATAGCAACATATTTTGGTTCCTCCAAACCTCTAAGCCCAGCCTACCCTAGGTTTCCTCTTCTGATAATATGACTACATCATTATCATTCCTAGCTTTACATTCTTTGTTCGCCTCCATTCACTCATAATATTATCCATGATGGGGCCATAAATAGGTACTTTCCTTTCATAATAATTGACTTATTTTCATGTTTTTACCTAAGTAGCCTAGTATCAGATCTGTACAGGATATCTGGTCGTAAAGTTATTTTTCTCATTATTCGTGTTAATGTTCATGGATTTAAATATTATTTAATAATTTTGTAAGTAGCATTTATTTCCTGCTGAAATTCTTACAGCTATCTATTGCTAGGTTATCATTCTTTTAATTTTAAATAGTTTCAATATTTTTGAATTATTCTCTTTTAAATTCAAATTTGAAAATCTATTTACTTTTATTGACTGACAAAGAATAGTATTACATCTACTCAAGATTGTATACTATGTTCACGTGTAGTCTAACTTTTATAGGGTCTACTAACTAATATCTTCAATTTATCTTAAAATTCATGCATCAATACTATATTGTCTGTGTATACTAGTACACTTACGATATCTTGAAGTCTAATACCCCCTGTAATTTTATTTATCTAAAACTATGAGAAATACTCTTTTCATTAAAATCTATGGCAGTTAATTGCTTTTCCTCAAGCCTGAATTCACTGACAAGCTGACTGAGTAGGACAGGTTAACCTAACCTAAAACCGAATATCCCATTGCATACTCCACATCACTGTCCTCCCTCCGACCTATAAAGTTTACACATGCCTATTGTTTTTATAAAGTGGTCCAACTATGGATTCATGTACTCAAACCAAAATACTATTTCGCACAAATATTTTAATTTATTTATTTTAATTTTGCTTCAAATTTAAAAAAAAACATACATATTGGCCCTAAACTATAGATTTAATGAAGTTTCAGAGTTATTACTAAATTTATAATTGACAAAATTCAAAAAGATATTTTTTAAATTGGTTTATAAATAAATTTATTTTATGATTATCATTAATTGCATACTAATGTAAATGTTTATAATTTATAAATACTGGATGATAATGTACATTGAACACCATGTTCTAGTCTCTAGATGTACATAAGACATGATCTGGTTCAAAATCCAAGCCTATTTTCCTCTTGTAAAAAGTAGTATTAAAAATAATACAGGACAATCTTAAAACAAATAATTTATAATAAATATATTACCATTTTACAATAAAACCACAGAAGTAAATAATGCTAGTTGAAAATAAAAATACAATCTTATAAGTCATACTAACAAATAGTATACAAAATTACAGAAGGAACATAACACAATATGTAAGTTTGAAAAATATATATCTAAATAATACATTTTATAATATCCTAATTAGTGTTTACATAATTAGTATGTTTCAATACTCAATATTAATAACAATTCAAGATTTTTAATTTTATAATAATTTATCTATTGAAATAATATATTGATAAATACCATAAAAATATAATATACTCCCAAATACCTAGTTTAAAATAAGTACATTTATTTGAAATGAAAATTGTAATTTATATTAAATAGTAACTATTAAAATAAATAATCAATTTTTCACTATTCTACTACATAATAGTTTTTAAATTAGAAATTTAGAATACTGTTTGGCCCACATTAATACACAAGTTATTAATTACATAAGTTATAACGATTGAAGTTCTAGAGGTAACATAACTTTGTTAGTTGCAGCAAATCTTTTTAGCATTTCATATTGTCTGACTGTATTTTCAACTTCAGATCTAATCATATTATTTGAATGTTGCAGATCATCTAGCTCTTGATATTCTTGAGATTTCTCTGTTTCTAATTCATCTTTTTGTTCGATTCTCTTGATACGGCAACTGAAATACATAAGAAGTGATTCTTGAGCAAAAAGTAAGGTAATCAGTTCATGGAAATTGGAGCTTAGTTTTGGTATGTGACAACTTAATAATAATTTTACAAAAGATAGTGAAATATAAAAACTTGAAACAAACAAATTTATTAAGAATTTGTTCAATTGTTTAACAAAGGATGAAAAATAGAGACATTATTCAAATGTTTAAATAATATTACCTAGCAGCATATCCCCTATTTTTCAATGTTCGTCTGCGCTGTTTCATGCGTACTATCTGATCTCTAGTCAATCCACGCATCTTCAGTTGACGGTTCAAATCACGTACGGATATTGTAACTAACTCATCATCGCTTATATCCAAAACAGGACTTGGCGACAGTGGAGGTGGCTGTAAACAAATGCATTAAGTAACAAATGTATTTTTGTACACATTATAGATGTGTGAATGGTATTTGTCAATAAACTCACCAAGTATTCTCTTTTGAGAGGAGACATATTCATCAAAATGGAAATTGAATCAACACTGATGACAGTTTTCTAATTTTAGAGGAGAGTGATATAATGTAACTCAAAGTACATAAATAGTATTTTATTATAATAAATTTTGATTTGTATACTTGCTAATAATTTTAATTTTTCCTTTCTATTTTTCGTCTAAACATAATTTTTAGTCATGCTCATTAATCATACGATATTGTGAACTATACCTATTACCTACTATAGTAGTATTACTGCGTCTATTGTTTATGCCCTACGGAGACTTGGAGTGGTGGACTTTATTTGGAGGCACCATAAACCTTATCTATAATCGTAGAAGGTTTTCAATAAAAAATAGTAAACTCGAAAAATTATCCTACAAAAAAATATTATTGTTTTTATCAAAATACGTACAATAAGGCAATGAGATTACAGCTGATGTTCACTGTCAAAGTGGATGTATATCCATTATTCACAATAAAACTTGCAAGGTCTTTGTGAACTGATGTTAGTAACAATATTGTTCCGGTAACTTCATACCGTCACTGAGTTTTATAGTGGGAAGCGCCGTACTGCTGTACTAGTGTTCAGGACTTCTGTCAGGTGTTCTAGTCCATGAGTCAATCAACCTATAAAACACGAGTTTAGAAATTTAGATTTCCTAAACGTAAAAAAAAACTATCAATATTTATAAATCGTTTGCGAGCATTTTTGAAAATTCACCATGTCCGCTATAAGTCTGTTAAATCCTAAAGCGGAATTTGCCCGTGCCGCTCAAGCGTTGGCGGTGAACATATCGGCTGCAAGAGGCATACAGGATGTGATGAAAACCAATTTGGGACCAAAAGGAACTATGAAAATGTAAGCACCTTAGATTTTAAAATTACATACAAAAAATACTATTTTTAACTTAAATTATGTATAGTTTTGTGGATGTCGATCGTAGTTGTAAGACTCGGGAGCTAATGCACTCTTTAATAATTTCTATAGTCAACGGTTAGTTATAGGTTAATATTTTCCCGTTCATGGACTAGCAATATTAGAGACTAGTATTCTCAGCTAGGTAGTGCTTTTTTTTCAATCCCACCTTTAATTTTTATTTATTTAAATAGCCATAATACGTATGTCAATATGTTTAAATGTATGTAAAATAACCTCTGAAAGGGTATGTTACAAATTAAAATCTTCTAAAAGATCTAAACTTCCTACACCATGAATGGGCCAAATTTCATTCAAATATAAATATCCGCACCAATTCTTTGATCAAGCTACTATCTTCTGTATCTTTTTCTGGTAAAGTAGCTAGAAGACTTAGTTATGATTCAGAAACCTATAAAAACACCTTAATAGCCTTACCTAAATGCTTTCTTTTCAAAAAACAATTAACAACTGATTGTGTGACAATACTGATTGCTTTGTTGTTCAATTCTCAGTTTCTCATTTTATATGGATGGTAAAAATTTTCCAAAATACCTTAGCAAGGAGTTTTTTCTGTGGTGGCCAGCTATTTCTCATTTAGTTAGTAGTTAAATCATTATCTGTAATTTGTTTCAAATATTATCTGAAACTTTACTACTAACCAATAAATGTTGATAATTTTGGCCTTATGTATATGTAATTAATTTGAATTAATGCATAATCAAAAAAAAATAATGGACTTGAGGATACTTAGTATAACATTGTATAGTAAAAAATTGTTAAATCCACAAATTTAAATTAATCATAACCTAAAATCTACATTCTATACCTTGATAAAATGAAATTAATCTAAATTAATAATTGGAATATAAACATTTTTACTTATCTCATGAACTGGAATTGTTGTTGTATTTTTGTTTTTATTTAAACTATAATTACATTATTATTATTTGTTTATAGGTTAGTCTCGGGAGCTGGAGAGATAAAAATTACTAAAGATGGAAATGTGCTTTTACATGAAATGGTAATATAAATACTTTTGGTGAACCTCAGTTGTACTCTTTAGTTGCAATTTATTAGTGTTTACATACAACCTAGATACAATAAATTATTGTACTATACTCATTATAATTAATAATATTTTAATTACAGACTTTCAATGACAAAAAAATATATATATTATTTGGTTAATGATTCATTGTCTGATTATTTGTTTTAATTCTTAGTTTAACTGAAAATTAAACAATTTAGGTTAAATACGTTCACAGCTAGTCAGTAAATTAAAGTGGCCTACAGTAAACCAATATAAAAATTATCACCTCGGAAATCTATTAAAATATACCGTTCTATAAATCTTATATTCACAATAGTTGTAACTCTCCATGAATTTTGACCTTAGTTGCATCAATTTTAAATTTGTATTTAAAACATATATTTATTGATACTCTAGCAAATTCAACATCCAACAGCTAGTCTTATTGCCAGAGCTTCTACCGCCATGGATGACGCTACTGGTGATGGTACTACCTCAACTGTTCTCATTATTGGTGAACTTCTGAAGCAAGCTGAAAACTTAATCTCCGAGGTATGCATTAAAAGTGTATAAAATAAAAAAATTTTGAAAAATCTAACTTTTATTTTAGGGTGTACATCCTCGAGTATTGACTGAAGGTATGATTAAAGCCAGAGATAAGGCATTAGAACTTTTAGAGAAAATTAAAGTTGAAGGAAAACCAGATCGCCAAAAATTGTATGATGTAGCTACTACTTCTCTTCGTACTAAAGTTGATAAAAAATTAGCTGATCAAATGGCAGACATATGTGTTGATGCTGTATTAAATGTGCAACGTGAAGATGGAATAGATTTACACATGGTTGAATTGATGGAGATGCAACATAAGACATCTACTGCAACAAATCTTGTCAGAGGTAAATTTGTTTTGTGTTTTGAAATTTAAGTCATAAATATGTACTTAATAAAATTAATTTGCCATAGGTCTTGTCCTTGATCACGGTTCAAGACATCCAGACATGCCAAGAAATGTTGAGAACGCTTACATATTGACTTGTAATGTTAGTATGGAATATGAAAAAAGGTAATAAATAAATCATTATTATTAAATGAAGAATGTATAAATATTCATATTCTTATTCAGTGAAGTAAATTCCGGGTTCTTTTATAAAACTGCCGAAGAAAGAGAAAAATTGGCAATAGCAGAACGTGATTTCATTGAACAAAGAGTGAAAAAAGTTATAGAGTTAAAACGTAAAGTCTGTCCTCCTGGATCTGGTAAATCATTTGTTGTCATAAATCAAAAGGTAATACATGTGATTGAATTTAATTAATTTATATATTATACTTATGTTTGTCTATCTTAAATTTATTTGAATTATTTGAACTGTAGGGTATTGATCCATATTCTCTGGACATGTTGGCAAAGGAAGGTATTATTGGTTTAAGGCGCGCCAAGAGGCGTAATATGGAACGTCTATCATTGGCATGTGGTGGATCTGCTGTCAACAGTGTTGATGATTTAACCGAAGATGTGCTTGGTTATGCAGGCTCTGTTTATGAATATGTATTGGTATGTTGTTTTTTGTTGTTTGCGTTATTACATAGTTTGTATATTTAAAATTAATTAAATGATCATTAATAACTATGTTTAGGGTGAAAATAAGTACACATTTGTTGAAGATTGCAAAAATCCTCTTAGTGTTACCATATTAATAAAAGCTCCTAATAAATACACATTAGCTCAGATCAAAGATGCCATTCATGACGGTTTGAGAGCAATCAAGAATTCCATTGATGATGGTAATTATTACTATTTACTTCTTATAATTTAGAGTTGTGTTTCTGAATTATTTATGGGAGAGGATGTGGCAATGCAATAATAAGAACCAAAATTATTTATTGATAGAAGTTACTTTTTCAAACAAATAAAAATGATGATTTTTTTCATTATATTACTATACAATTCTATAATATCTGCTGTGATTAAAGTATTTTGGTTTAAAAATATCTTGTATTCATAAATCCTGAGCAAAAGTTGTTGCTGAGTTTCGTCAGTTCAATAACCGGGTACAGCTATTTAATTGATACCTAATTTATAATTATGTACATAAAATAAATTGACAAAAACCCGAAATAAAATAATTAGGATTTATTCCTAAACCCTCTCTCCCTTAAATTTGCTGCTAATAGAATAGTTTAAATCACTGTGATAGTTATTCAAAATTACTAAATTTAAATTACAGGTGCTGTAGTACCAGGTGCTGGTGCTTTCGAAATATACGCTTGGCAAGAACTTCAAAAATATAAAGACGAAATCAAAGGCAAAAGTCGTTTGGGAATTCAAGCATACGCTGAAGCTTTGTTAATCATACCTAAAACCATTGGTTAGTTTATACTTATCTGAAATTTGGTTGTATTATGTTACATTTAATATTGTGGTTAAAACATTTTAGCAATCAATAGTGGCTTTGATGCTCAAGATATGATAGTTAAGTTGCAAGAAGAGTGTAGAGAAAGTGTTGGTCCAGTAGGAGTGAATATTGATAGCGGTGAAGTTCTTCAACCCGTTGATGCTGGAATATTTGATAATTATTGTGTTAAAAAACAAATCCTAAACTCTTGGTAAGATCATAATAATATTTTTATGTATACTATGGTATAAAATATCTAATTTATTTTATTATTTTATTATTTTTTAGTACTATTATCGCTAGCAATTTATTGCTTGTTGATGAAATTATGAGAGCTGGTATGTCATCACTCAAAGGATAATAATGCTTGATTGTTTTTTCTCCATTATGCTTAAACACACCTAATTTTTATATTACTAAAAAGTTTCTAACAAAGTTTCTACTTTAATTACAATTTAATTCTAATAAATTTTCTAAAATATTATTTGTGTTTTTAATGTCACTATAATTTGGAGGCATGTGTCATATTTATTTGGATAATTTAATTTATCTTATTAAATATATTCATTACTAATTAGATAAAACTTAATATACAATTGTAATTTATATTCGTAAAAAGTAACATTCTTAATAGGACCGCTAATCAAAATTAGATTCAAACATCAAAAATAGTCTTATGAAAATGAATATTTACAAAGACTTATTTAGGGATTCAGGGTATTTAACTATATCTTGAACTACACACTTTCTAAAACAACGTTTGCATTTACATTATAATGTAGATTCAAATGACAAATATTGATCAAAATACATTCATATACATTTAATAAATTATTATAATTAGGGTTTAGGACTAATTGCACATAAATTTTGGAAATATGCACCTACAATCACTAAAATATGTGGAAAATATATAACTAATAATTTTTCTTTCTAAATAGCATCACAAAATCTTGAATTATTACATTTTAAGTGTTTACAATCAGTAAATTTAAAATTGTATTTTTTATGTTGAATAACCAAATATTGCCTATTTCCATCTACCTTAATTTCCCAAAGCTTACAAAATAAAATAATACAATGCTATTACTCGTACTTCATGTATGTTTATATTATATTGGTCACCTCTTAATAGTAAAAATAAATACTGTAAACTAAACTATCAAAATGTGTGTTTACTTAAAATGCAATTAAATTGCCAATACTTATCAGATATGTGTCAGCCTAAAAAAATTTAAAAATATTCTGTATAAATGTTAGTATTCAATTTTGATATATCTCTAATTGAATTTATATCTTTGAATAATATGATATTCTTCTGTAGCCATAGTTAAGTATTCAAATGCGACAAGTCCCGAACACTGATTATAATATTGCCACCTGCAAGTTACTTATTGGGAAAACCCATTATGAATTTATATATTTGGAAGTTATCAAATGAAATAGTTTTAAATGCTTCTGGTTGAATATTAATTTCAAGAACTAAACCGGGAGTTGAAAGTTCTACACATGAATAATAAATGAATAAAAACAGTTAATTATTCAGTTCTATGAGGCATCAGTTATCTAGAATATTTAGAAGTGTCTACCATACAGTATAAGTATTTAATAATTTAGAAACTATCTAAACTAGACACTAATATAAATTAGCAGACTAAAGAGACAGGCGACCGACCTTAAAGTTGGATTCACAGCTACATCATGTGCATTGTGCGGTGTGCTTTTTATAGTAGTTATAAGGTATTCTACTATTCAGATAAGCCGTTGTATGTAATCGTGGTCGTAGAGAATATATTATATATTCATATTTTTTCTACATTGTGATTTGTGGATCGGCCCAAATATGGACATTTTACTATTTTAGGGTAAATCATCGTTAACCAATGATAGCTGATAACACGATGTAGCGACAACACCGTCCCGAACTATACTCTTCTTGATTAAAATAATAAATCACCAGGACTGTGACAGTTGGTAACCATGGTATGGAACGATAAGGAGACCGTTGATAAGTGATAACCAATGGGCCATGGCGTCCCCGCTTTTTGAAATAACGAAGTTGGAATTGGGCATTGGCTCTGAATTATCTCAAGCTTGTCGGTCATTCGTTTTGAATTTACACGTTTTTAATATTAGCATTTTACTGCAACGATTTTTTCTCTGACCACAATGGACTGCAACGAAGTGGAGGAAGACAATGTGTGCGTAGAATTTGCTAAGCGTCTGCAAGAGTCTGAGAACACATACAAGGTATTCGGTTTCTCACACGTCATTATTATCGGTTCCATAGCTGACATAATGGACACGTCGATTCGTGCTATCCTTGACGGAATGTTCCGTAAAACAAAGTTACACTGCAAAACCGATGAAGAAGTCGAAGTTTACCGTCAACGGCTGTGCAAGCTGTATTTGACCTACTTGAAAAAAGGCTTGGAGAACATCGATCGTCTAGAACCCAAGCTTGCGGACACATTAATCGTTAATGTGGAAAAGCCTGTTGAAAAGTTCAGTGATAGATTGAACGAGTTAAGATCAAAGGTCGCTCAACGAACAAAACGTCTTCAAAGTCTGCGAGCATTGCAGAGCCGTTTGAAAACTGACACCGTTCTGGCAGAGTGGGTTATTTCCAAAGTAGGACCAGCTGTACACGAAGCCGAAAAAGATCTTTCCAGCGTAAAATGTGTCACTCCAAATGTTATTAATTCTGTTTTGCTTAGTTTGAACCGTGTCAAAGATTCTTTAAAATTAAATTGAATATTAATTTTTTTTTAACTTTTTTACCGTTTGTCATCTGAATTTGTTGTAACTTTAATGTAAAGAATATAAAAACTAATTTTTAGTATAATATGTACCTATTTTTTTTCCAAAAAATATCTAAGGTTAAAAACCTATTCCCTTTTTTAGTAGATAGGTATATAACAACAAAAATTGTTAGCAGTAAGTACCTTAATACCTAATACCTATTTGCTATTGAAGTGATGACACTAAAATATTTTAAAAAATCAATTGTATTGAGGATTCATTAGAACTTCAAGCCAACTTAAATTATATAATTGATGCAACATTATTGTAATGTCTTTAAATGCCAATAAAATATGCTCTGTATATCATACTCTTTAAAAAAAAATACCCTCTATTTTAATTATCTTATACAAATCTAACACTTAAAAATATTACTAAAGACTTAAGAGTTTTATTTAACACTAAACTATCTTATAATCATGTTGATTTTATTTATAATAAGTCTTCTATGAAGCTGGGATTATTTAAAATCATCTGATAGTATTTTTCAAAACCAGTGTATAATGTCCTAAATAATTTTTTAAGATATTTAATGTTTAAATGTAATTTTGAAAGACTTCATCACTCGGGGTGTATTAATAATAGTATTTTAAATTCTGAATGGAGCTAGGAATAGATTGATTTTACAATGATACCCCCAAATATTTATATTGGCATTTGCTGAACATCATAACATTTAAAAAATATGTTGGTATGAAGTTTACATTTTTTTTAAATTATTTTTTGCTGGGTTGAAAAACTTGAAATTTAATAAAAGTTAAAATTTAAAAGCTTATAAGTCCTGAAAACAGATGAAAATTTAACATTCTATGTTTTCTATTAGAAAATTAGTTACAAATTACAATAAAACTATATTGTATATTTGTGTGCTATTTTTACTTTTGTCATACAAACAAAATTCAACCAATGAAGCATTTTCTGTTATCATTAAAATATAAGAAAATACAAAAATATTAAATAGTTTGAGATTATAGAATATAATAGTATATATTTGTAAATACAAATAAAATAGATATAAAAATAAATTTGAATATAAAAAGCACATAAAATGATGGAATAGTTATGTAGTGTCTTAAGTATACATTTATGAAAATAATTGGATACAGTATATTAGGAAATTTATAACATTTAATAAATTATAGTAAATACGTTCTTTGGTCATAAAATACAAGTACATAATTGTTTAAATTTAAATATAAAATAAAATAAATATTTAGACACTAAAGACACTTGAATACCTACCTAAACTTAAAATTTTTTATAAACTATTGTGAGATTGTATAACATTGTTAGATTTCTGTTAAAAGGAATCAATAAAACATTTATATTTTAATTGAAAAAAACATATAAATGTATGAAAAAAGATTGTTCTTCTTAATGGAATTAGTCCTTCCAAAGATTTTTTAGCGTTAAGTAAAAAATAAAATAAAAAATTATACATGATAATGGCAATAAAAAAATTATAAAATAAAATAGTTTACTTAATACAGATGTTCAGCTTGTAACATTATTAATAGTACTTTTCCTTGGTTTATAATAAATATTAATGAATACATAATTATTAATGTAACTGTAGATTTGTGGATTTAAATTAATTTGTAGCTCCATCACCGACTCTCAACACTTTTTGACTGCTCTCAACAAAATCCTTTTTAAAATATATTATAATCATATTATTAGTATTGGTATGTAAACAGTTGTAATAATTTAACCTACCATAAGTTCTTTACTCATGTAATATTCTTGAGTGACTCCATCATTTAGGTTACAATCTTCGCAGAAACACATAAATATTGTGTCTATCACCATCTACACATTAAATATATTTAATATTTAGTACTTATACATTGAAATAAAAAAATTAAAAAATATTTTACCTCGTATACAGAAATAAAACAATGTGCAACAAAATAGGCAAATATTCCTGCAACGGTAAGTGGAACCCACAAATGAAGAACTCCAGGTTTAGTCTATAACAAATTGTAATAAATATTAAATATATTATTTCATTAAAACATTTAGCATAAGTTAAGAAGTCATAAATTATTTAGTACCAACATGATATTAACAATAAGATCAATGGTAAATAATACATTATCGCAGTGCCATAGAAAGTATCATAATCAGGGCTGTGAATTTAATGCATTTGCATGTTTTTTTTGCTACACTTCATAAAAAAATGGATTCGGCCAAAATTTGTTTTGACTTATTTGTAGTTCAAATACCAAATTTTATTTTGCATATTCTTGCATATTTCATGGGTTAGGGCATATAAATACATGTTTTAATAATTTTTTTGTTTAAATGCTTTTTTTTCTTAATATTTACATTTTTTCGGTCAATCTTATAGTATAAACTATAATTTTTATAGTTTTATCGAAATTATTCTATTTTCACAAACAGTACTCAACAAAAACAAAGAGTTTCAAATTATGTGTAACATTTCAAAAATATTAACTGGCAAAAAAAATGATGTAGATTTAGATATACCAGAAGATTTAACCAGTAGCGACATGACGTATTTCAAGTTTGCCTCAATAACTTCGTCAGACGTAGAACGCTCCTTTTCTTTATATAAAACTTTGTTGGCACCAAACAGGAGGTCTTTCAAGTTCGAAAACCTGAAGAAATCATTGGTTGTTCAATGCAATAACTACTTTAAAGGTAAAATATATAATTTTAATTATATTTAATTATATTACTTGTATAATTTATATTTCTTTTATAGATCTTGTATACGACGAAGACCAAGACTAGTTAAGATAAATAACTCATATACTTATACCAAGAAGTAAAAATACTAATATTTAAACTAAAATTAATAAAAAAATTATACTAATGAAAAAAATAAAAATGAAAGTTTAATTTTTGTAGTTTTTTTTTGCATACTTTAAGAATTTTTAGAGCATATTTTGTCAGATTTTAGTGCATATATGCATGCATATTTAATAGTTTTTAAGTGCATTAAATTCACAGCCCTGATCATAATAAACAAATATACAAAACTTAAATTAACTTTGCAACAAATTTATATCTAATATAAGATATTAATTAATTTCAACATTGAATACCTCAAGCATTTTGAAACCTAATAACACCGTTGATATGACCACAAGTACTTTTCCTAAGAAAAGCACAAAATCTCCAACAGAATTTATAGCAGCAACACGTAGTACGTTAGAAGTAATCATTTTAAATGCTTGTTGTCCTGATCTGCAGAAGTTATCACCATAAATAGCTAAAAATCAAAAACAAAATTATGAATTCAAATAATCAATTACTTTATGATATAAAATCTAAAACTTTAAATAATATTTCAGTATTTCAAATTCCAAAAACATATCGAAAATAATAATTCCTAACTATAACATTACTGTACCTAAGTGAATTTCTAAGTAGCCCTTAGCCACTAGTTCATAATCTATTTCCAATTAGACTGATTATACTGTATACCAATTAAATAATAAAAAACTATTCATTGTATTTTTTCAGTAAAAATGGATAAATTTATGTTTTCTTTAAAATTATTATTTCTTGTTGAAATTCTACAAAAAAATTTTATGTTATTTTTTTAAATCTAACTGGTATGTGGCCGCAATATCATACAAAGACAAAAGTTCCCATATTTTACAAGTAAACAATATGTCAATATAGAAAAAGTTTAATTATTTAATTATAACTTAGAAGTAAACCACAATTCCTCAAATATATTAGTTTAAATTATCATAATAATACATAAGACATAACACTTCATGGCCGACTAGTTCCTATCTCTCAAAATAAAAATAAATATTTCTTACCGATTTCGATGTAAGCATTCCTTGTCAAATATTGTAAAAATTGTTGTAGACAACTGAATAAACATTGAAATACTTTATACAATGACTTTGCTACTTCATTTTGAGATTCTTTCAGGGTCTCATCGATATAATTCAATATAGCTCTAATTATTTGAAGTACGGTTATAATAAATGATCCTAAAGCTACAGATCCTAAATGGTAATTGAACAAATAACTAATAGATGTTGAAATTGGAGATGAAACATTGTCTTTGTTTCTAGTGAAGAACCATGTGGCAACAGAACCAGCAATTATCATATGTTGACAGCCTATGATAAATTCAATAACCCAAAGTAATACCAAAATGTTATAAATTCTGGCAAATTTCATTAGCTGGTCTTTTTTATAGTAAACATTATGGCTCAGCGGTTCAAAAGCAGGAGATCCGGATGCTTGAATGAGTACAGCAAAATAACTCCACATAATAATTGCCAAACACAGGAATATAAAGGTCTGAATGGACAAACGTAATATCAAATATTAGACATTTTTATTTATTACACAAATAAAATACTTATTGTTAACTTTAAACTTACCACCATTGGTTGTACGAGCAATAAGGGCATGCTTTGTATAGCTTTACCAGATTCTTTAAACAATTGGACGACAAGAGCAATACGGCTTCTCATTGCCACAATGATTAGCAAGATAATAATCTAATATAAATAAAAAGATATATATTTTACACTATAATAATAAAAATATTGTATCATAAACATAAGACAAGTACTCACAGTGGATATTGTGGCAATTAATGCAAATGCAAAATATGTATTTACGTCTCGTTGAGCAACTTGATCTTTAATTTCAGAATCAGACTTTTGTTTCCAAGTGACCCTACATGATAAAATATTAATGGAAAACCCGTTAAAATGATAGTGTATGGGTGCATTTTGTACCACCCAAAATATGAAATATATTACCATAGGAAAATAGATGCTGAAATACTGACTACAACAACGCCGATAAGTACAAACCAAACAACAATACCAGCTACAAATCTTATCAAAAATACAATGACGAGTGATAGAACTGCAAGTAAACAAAATACAAAACTTAGTAGTCATATAAAAAAATTTGTGAATTAACAAAAAACAGTATTTCACAAGACAAAAATTCATAAATAAAGAATACATTTTTCAGTAAAATTAACCTCAATTTCAAATACTTTCAATATCGAATAAAATATGTTTTCCATAAAAATTACAAAACATAATATTGAATCTTCTAGCAGATTTAAAAAAATATTCCTTGGTTATTAAAGTCCAACTATATTTATTTTTTATTCTAGATTATTTTGTTGTTAACAATAAAAATAATCAAAAATTCCAATATTAATATTGTTATTTAACAAAGAGTTTAGGTGCTTCATGAAAAAACTTTTTAAAAATATTTTCATTAAAAATTTTCAGAAGTAATAATAATAAGTTTGTAAGAATATTATATTAAAATATTAAATTAACTTACTAAAAGCAAATATGCAAAGATATATTATATCCCATTTAGTGTGTTGCAAATCTTGAGTCACTTCCTATAAAATAAAACAATTCATTTTTAGTTGTTATTCATAAAGACCAGATAAAACTATTAACACAAAAAAAAAATCAAAATATTAACCAAATTAATGAACATAAAATGTTTACCTAAGTCTCTGAAATTGTATTTTATAAATTATAATAATGTCCACAAATAAAATTCAACATTTACATCGAAACAAAGATATTAATTATTTTGAACTGTCTTAAATTATTTACAGTCTTAATTATTAAAATAAAATTAATAATCCAAAAGTAGTATAATAAATATAATATTATCACTAAAGAATAACATATTTGAACAAAACTTACGTGAAACAGGCTGCCAATTGTTGAATTTGTCAAAATATTGTTGATGACTGATTCATTGCCTTTTGGAATACACCTATGTAAGAATTCTTGGCTAAAATTATAAATTAAATAGTCCTTAATAAAAAAACAAACTATGTTATACGATATAAAAATAAATATAACTACTTACTAATCCTTATAATCTGAACATCTTTCTACACATTCTCTTTTGACATATTTCAAATCAGCTACTTTATAAATAGGAGCATCAATTTTTAAGAATCTAAAATAATTTAATTTATGTATATCTAATTGTGTGATAATTTAAAAATAATACTGATTAACTTACGGTTTACTTGTCATGTCTTTACCAGTACAAAATTTTGGATCAGGGTTTTTATTTTTAAATCCACAAATGTCACCACATTCATCAAAACCATAGAACAGACGATTTACATCACCATTTGATGTACAGTATATGACTAATCCAAACTAAAAAAATAACATAAATTAATGACAGTAGGTAAACAATAAAGTTCATAACATAAAATATGAATACTTACCACAGATATCAATACAAACAAGAAAAGGACCAAAAATGAGCAATCTGTACAAGATCTTCCTTTTACAGGACCTTTAAAATTGGCCTAAAGAAGTACATCAAAATATCAGTAAATAAAAAGTTGAAATTAAATCAAACAAAATTAAATGTTGGGTACGGATTAAATGGGAAAAAATTTGAGTTTCCCACTACATCCCAAAAAGCAGAAAGTAAATAACGTTTCAATGGTAATACAATACATCACCCAGCTAAAGAAAATTCAGAGTTGTTAAGTCATAACCTCCATTTTTTAGGACAAAACAGTAGAAACCCTGATTGAAATTTAGCTACAAGGAGAAACAATTAATAGACAATGGTACGGTGAAACTTCATAGGGCAATTAAAAATAAGAGGTGAAGACAATTGATCTCCAGTATGTATCTCCTTCATAAAAAAACTCAGTCCAGGGGTGGATCCAGAAATTTTTTTTTTTGGGGGGGGGGGGGGGATAAATTATAATGTATCCAACAGATACTATTCATACTTAATAACATACTTTTTAATATCACCATTCTTTTAGGTAGCGGGTTACGTTATTATCGTTATAAAGATACGTAACGCTGAATATAACTAGTATTTCTCACAAGTCACAATGAAATAAATTTGAATATAATAAGCTCAAGAGGAGGGGTGATAGGGTAAATACCCCCCCCCCTGGATCCACCACTGGCTCAGTCTCGTCATAACTATTTGAATCAGTTTATATGTGATGTTCTAATCCATCTACCATACAATCCTCATTTAGCTTCTTTGGACTACCAAATGTTGGTCACCAAATTTAAGAAGGTATTAGCAGATACAGTTCTGATCAACTTTTGTAAAATTGTATTACATTAAATAAAAATCATTTTTTAAAAATAAACTTATTTCAAAGGAGGAACTTTTTTATCTAAAAAAAAAAAATAGTAGAACTTGATTTACATTAGGTACCTAACAGCTCAAATTGTATAGTTTTAAGAGATACCTATAATATGCATTAATTTTTCATTTCAGCTACATTATTGAAGAAGACCATAATACTTTATACATACCTTTGCATCAGGTGAAGATGGTTCAACTCTATCCGAAGAACCGCAACAACTAAATAAGTCTCCCATTTTATAAACTAAAACAATAAAAACCAAAAATAATCACACATTGACATTTTTGATATAAATATTGAGAAAATATTATTCTTAAATAATTTAGATACAATCTATTTCTTATATAATTCCGGGATGAAAATGATTTAACTTCCTATTTGGAGATAAAAAAAATGCTCTGATTTATTCTATAACTCATAAGTTAGAACCAATATTTTGGTAGTGAACAATGATGATAAATAATAATAATATGCTACATTGCTACATTGCTACCTACGACAATGAAGACTGAAATTAAAGAAAACATTTTTCAATACATTTTATGGAACACAGACAACAAAAATTTAAATTTAAGGACACATGATTCAATTATTAACTACACATAGGTAATAAACCTTCTAGATTAAGCTTTTTCATTTTATTATATCACTATAAATAACTACGTTTAAGTTACATAATACTAAAACTGTTATTTTTCATTAGTAATTGGAAAAGGTACTAGATGGTTCTTGATTTAAGTGTATATTTAAGCTATTTTCAGTTCATTTAAAAAAAAATATGTTAGCTAAAATCATCTTATTAATAGTATTAATACCTATAGAATATCTAATTTTAAAATTTAACAGTCAACAATTATTTTAAATAAAAATAAACCAATTAATATAACTAATATCCCCAATTGTTCGAAATTTGACCATAAAAATAGTTTTAATAATTGTAAAATCACCAACTCTAAAATATTGAATTTCTCTATAATCTCACACACAGTTCGGTGTCTGAATTTATGTTTCTTCTCCTTTAATTCTATGAACTATTTTACGTAAAATGGAAAAAACGAGTAGGTAGATATTTCATATTGAAGTTATTGAACCTTTAAGCTACAAATATACAGACCCTGCCATTTTTTGTGCATTTGAATAACAAGCAATAATTACTTAACAATTACTTAACAATTACCTATTTCCTTCTATTATTTAAATTAGTTAGAATCCGTACCGTGTTAAGATATGTACCTAATGCCGCCGGAGACACACTTATTTTTCTGCCTCTGAACCCTTCCCCCACTACGTCACCACATACACTGATCATTAAAAAAAAAAAGCTGGTAGAGTGGATCAATTTTTAAATGTACCCACTACCCACGTGGCCACGTGCCTATTGTATCTATATTACAACATGATCGAAAATTAAATCAGCCATATAAAATATAATTTTTATTTAATTGTACCTATTTAAAATAAAAAAATTGTTTTTTTGCTACAAAATGTATAAAAACAACTGAAACTACAAAAATATAATTTTTATGTGTAAAATACACCATAGTTTTAACCTAGCTTAGTTTATAAAACTGTGGATATTTTAATACCTAAAAATTTTACATTTTTATATCGATATTGTGTACCTAAGTATATTTACATTTTTTTCTTGAGTAACATAATAGTTTATAAGTATACTTAAACGCAAATATATTATCACAATATTTTATTAAACGTTAAAAAAATAATACGTAACAAAAAAAAATTTTTATACGACATTTTTACATAGTATACTTGGGAATTTCTTCCAGTGTTAAGTGTTTTACTTTTGGTTTTTTTATATTCTGTGCCAACCAATTTTACTCTTTTCGAAGACATTTAAAATTTAAAAAAAATACACTTGTTATTTATCGTTAATTTCGAAATGGTGATAACTGATGACTATAATTTTTAATGTGTTAACAAATTGTACACTAACTACAATATTGAGTATTGAGTAAATGCAGGTCTGTGTATAATAATAATCATTGCTGGGATTTTAAAGTACTTAAAATTGCATGATAATGGAAAAATAGTAGGTAGGTATGATACTATAACTAGGAAAACGTTTTAAAGTTAAAAGTGAATATCGTTGATAGTTGATAAGTATTATAACTACAATAACTACAATGTATTATATATATATATACTCTCCACCTACAATGGAAAAAATATATTTTTAGATACGAGCATATGATATGGCAGGTGCAATTTTTTTGTACTTAGATTACAAGATTTCTATCACCACATGTGATACAGAACTCGAAAGCAATGAGCAGACAAACGAAAATCTACTTAAAATGCACTGTAGCGAACAATGTATACTGAAATATCCCTAGTTATTGTAAATCGTGTAATTATTAAAAGTTAAATTCAGAAAAATGTATTTAATTAGAATTTACACACATTCAAAAATAAAATAGGTATTAAATTATAAACCTATAGTATGGAATTAAAACTGTTAAAATAAAATTGTGATAAAAAAATTTTGTTACGTATTATTATATTAACGCATAATGAAATATTGTAATAATATATCATATTATGCGTTGAATAAATAAGGGATACTCTAATACTCTATAGACAATATTTAAGTGGCGTCCGCTGTGAAAATAAAATCAAGTTTCAGGTGTTTAATTTTAATTATTACCGATTCACATTATTGTTTTTATTATTAATTTAAGCCTCACATTTATATTCAGGCGATTTCTATTTTTATAACGCAACTCCGCGTTATTATGATATTACTTACTTGATTTGATCGTTTCAAAAAAATGTATTGTTGAGTACTATTAAGTAGGTACTTAAATTAAATAAGTAGCAAGCAAGCATAAAATACCAAATGTCACTTAATAATCAAAAAATGTAACGTCCCGTTTATTTATTCGGGGCCCCCGCCTCCCATTCCCATAAGGTACTCCGTTCGGCGTTCAAGGGCCTAATCACATACCACAAACCTAGTAAATTCGCCACTGGTGTGATTCACACGTAAAAACGCGGACGTAATGTGCCAACCAACCTTAGTGTGGAAGTAGGTATAGAAATGTTGACATTTTTATTTCATATTTTTTAACAATAATATATTATTACAATCGTATGAGCACAGTAAATATTCGTACACGCAAATGTCACGCCCGTTTCGCTGCGGTGTCTTGAGAAGACGCAGAACTCGTAAACTTTTATGTACCCATTATTATCGACGGTCGATTACGGCAGCAAAGCATATGATTATACCGGGCGGCGTGGTGTATGTCAACAGGTAGGTCGTCTAAACTCTATACAAACATGACATGGGCGATAGTAATGTTTTGTGAACAGGACACGAAATGAGCTAAAATGTACTGCAATTAGTTGTATACCTACCATATTATTAGACAAAAACGATCATAAATGCATAACGACTTAAAAGAATCGAGAACGTCTCGAAATAAACTAGTCGGAGTGAAAAAAAACCACGTATAATTATAGAAAGTCGAGTAGAAAGTTAGCGTCGGCGGTACTCGCCGGATCGCCTATAAATAAAAATACCGGTCAACGATGCTCTATACATAATAGTATAGTAAGTTTAGAGGACTCTGGCCTTGTCCTTTGATATAGACTTAACTACAGAAGTAAGTGACACGGCGCCCGACATCGAAGTTCGTAACGAAAACTGTTCAGTGCTCTCCCACCCTCATCTGAATTGATATCATCCCGTTTTTGGGCGGCGTGGCCATGATCGATTTTTTCTCATCCGACTCCACGGCCCCTCGCATCCTTCGTTCACAAGTCCCATAATATCATATTATATAATATAAACATTATAAACATACATAAGCGGTGGGCCCGCTGAATCTTAGCACAATCGAACGCGCGGTACACGATGGCCGCCGGCCGGTGACCGATAAAAGATTTTAAATGTAAGGATTGTCCTTGGTACTAGGAAGTTTAGCTTATAAGCATTTTACGAGGCATAAAATGTTGACACGTTTAGTAAATCGTATTCACAGAGTTGACTACGGTCTGCCGACGACGTTATAATCATAATAGGTAATATACTAAAGGTAACTTTGCGTCGACTAAAATAAATATATTAAAATATAAGTATGCTATAAGATTTGTACTTTGCTGTCGAGTGACGATCTGAGAGCATTAAACAGACGATAAACGCGATAGTAAAATGCTCAAAATCGTATAAAAAAAAATGTCCGCAGACGGGACCGTACGAGTACACATATAATTTCCGTAAACCTACTTATTAAATTCAACATAGCACTAAATATTCGCTTACCGTTGATACCACACACTTGAGGAGGACGGCGGCAATCCCCGTAAATCGACTGCGGACCGGTTTTTTGATCAAAACACCGGTTGACAACGAGCCGACGATGACGAAAACAACAACAACAATAACAACAAAACAACGGTCAGCGAGTAAAACGCGACGCGGCGACGACGGGCGCGGTGGCAGCAACAGTGCGACTGGGCCACAACGCCACAGTGTCGAAAAAGTAAAAACAAATCGTCCGGCGTCTCCCACCACGAGGAATCCGCGCAAGTAAACCGGAGTAACCGACAACGCTAGTCGCGAGTAATGAGTATCGTTACTGCGCCGCCGGTTTGTATACAAATAATAATAATAATAATAATAGTCGCCCGCGGCGGCGCGGGAAACGGGACCGCCCATCAGCCGCTGACGTCATCGCAACCGCGACAACAGATAACTGCTCCAGTACGACACGGAATTCGTCAGATATCGAAGACGTACCGGCGCGCCGGCCGCCGACCGATCTCCACACGCCGCCACCCCGTTTCCTTCCTGTCAAAGATTTGAGGAAAAAAAAGACTTACGACCGCGTTGGTGAGCGGCCGAGAGAGCAGTATGGCATTGTGTTCTATTCTATTATTTTACATTATGTAGTCCAAATAATAAAATAGTCTGTTCACGCGCAGTTGCCCATCCACAGTCGCCGTGACCTCGAACAGACGCGGCACACGTGTACAATGAAATAACACAGTATAATACTTATAGACTGTATAGTACAATATATCTATTATTATACAATATGTATTATGTAGTCTTAAATAATGTATACTTATGCATAACATTATATTATGAAATATGATATAGTATTAATAATATTATACCTATATTGAATATTATAAGTTAAGACCATCGCCGTGTCTTGTGTTTGCAAACATGATATTATAGGTATAATATTTTGAAATACCTTTTAGATGTGGATAGCCTGCATAGGCTTGAAATGTCTTATTGTAATAAAACCTACAAAAAAAAAAAAGGTAAAATATTAGTTGTTGTAAATATTAACAACGACATGAAATCTCCGAGACGTGTTCGACACGGGCCCGCCCGTCTTGTAAAAAATATTATATTATTATGTATTATTAATTCGAAAAAGTATTTTTGGCCCTACCACCTATAATTACTATATAAAATAATAATATAAAAATATATAATATTAATATATATATAATACCCACTCGTCTATAATTCAAGATCATAATGAATATAAATAAAGTCGATAACACACCGTCGTATACAACTAAAGTTATTCATAAATCATAATATTATCTGATTGCCGAATAGGCTGATCTCATAGGTAGTCGATAGACGATAATATAGTATAACCTTGCTGTTCTGATTAATCTGATTGGTATTTTCTGCAGATATTTAAAGGTAAACAGTCACGTCTTTAGAATAAATCTAGGCATATACATCTAACTATACTGGATTACTGGCTACTACTCAATGCTCACCCTTTTTTTTTTACAAGGACTTGTCCATGAATGATGAATGATGAATATAAATATACTGATAGACGCCGGCCCTTGACCGAAACATGTCATTATTACTACTTTGAATTGTTATTATTATATGTCTCCCCTCGACTATTCTATATGCCAAATTTTTGATGACTGAATGTCGTGCGATGTACGACATGTAATTATTTTTAAGCTTTATATAGTCGTATGTAGACATATTATTATTTACACTAAAATAAAGTACAATGTAGTATGTACATAATATAATATATTGTCATTACTTATTACTACTCATCACTGGTCATTTTAATACTTATGTATTATTTTATTATCATTTATCTTTATCATGTAAAAACAGGAAACGCAAAAAGGTGGTTTGGAATGTTTAGGTGCACCTAATTTGTTAGTTTAGTAGATTATGTCACCTGGTCATCGCTGCCGATTAAATATTATATTATTTGTATTTCGTGTGTTGTAGTTTGATAAGTTCGGTTTTGCTATTCGGCGGAGGCATTGTCCGTGGACGTAAAGGCAGAGGCGTGAAGTTTGTTTCTTTAAAGCTCAATTTGATTGAGATTTTATAGACCTAGTACTTTACGATATTAAACGAAAAACATTTATAAAAAGTCTCCAATCTTACTGCAAGGAGATAGTATAGGTAAGTATGGGTACCATACTATGACATTTGAATGCAGTTTTAAGTTTATTTAAACAAAATGTTGTCTATAAAATACATATAGATTTATGTTGGTTTAAAATTTACCGACTAATCACTATACCGTCTATACCTATATAAAAAGTAAAAACGTATACCATTTGTTTAAAAATAGACTCTACTCACTAGTCACTATGAATACAGTATAAAGTTATTATCTGCTGTTAGGTATATATTAAGGGTGCAGAGTGCAGTCTGCAGGCGGGTACTTTGATGCAGAATGAACTACTAAGCAATAAATGTATTAGTATATGTGATTAATGATAGGTACCTGTTTAAATAAACACAACAATGCGAAGTATACTAAATTTTAGTTATATATACTATATAGGTATTAGGTTTTTATTTTAAGTATACACAATACAGCTACAAGGCTACACTATATACGAATATGAATATCGGAATATACAATGTTTATATTATAATATTTATCATTATATAATACATAAGAAGGTTCAATGTTCTGAAACATAACCTTTATACTTGTTTAAATCACCAAATTGGCTAATTTACTACTGACTAGTGACTATATTCATTACATATACCTATTAATAGAAGTGATATTTATTGTCTATGGCAGGCCTCACATGAGTAATACTTACAAAAAATTAATTTTAACTATAATTCAGTAATAGCGCACCTTATTTTGTATGAATAAAATATTATCAGGTCATACAATTATTGTTTTTCGAAACCTAATAATTAAAAAAAAAAAAAATGATTTTATATTAAATTTTCCATTGCATAATACCGATATTATTCCCTATTGGTATCTTCAATTAATATAATTTAATATTTATTAAAGAGGAATTTGCAAGAGTATCAATTAATATTCATAATGTACACCGAAAGTTCTCTATTAGTGAAACCGTGAAGGCATTATAAATAATAAATGTGAACGAAGTATAGCGTAATGTAGATATAGGTATAAGTATAAGTGTACAATATCTTCTGCTCGCTACGATCGCTTGAATATAGACACAGGTATTGTGTGTAACAAGTACCTACATTAGGAGAATATAAACATTTGCTTTATAAGACGTTTTCAATTAAATAATCCTTACAATACTTTTTTTTACTTAATATTAAAATATTGTTAATTAGTTTAAACGTTTGATTCATAGTTACCTCGAATAATGTAAACAATATAATGCTATAATATAACTATATAATACCTATATATTATACAGGTATATAATAGGTACCTCAAATAGTTATATCTTATTCTTATATAATATTAATATACTATATAGAACAGTCATCGTTGACACAAAGCATGTGATGTCAGACGTGGCCAATAAAATAGATATATAAAAAAATATATTATAATATAGGTATAGTGTATAGTCGTATACTGTAATACTGTAAATCACAATATAAAATAACTTTAATAGACCATATTTATTGTAATATTATTCAAGATCAAACAACAGCTTAGTATACAATATATACCACCGTGGCACCGTTAATCGATTTGACCGTATGTACCTCCGCGCGTACAATGTTAAATAAATTTTAAAACTACCTACCTAATTCATTATAAGATTGCAATTTTCACTTTGTACTTTGCAGTGTTGCATAGACCCGAGCACTAGGTTCAGAGCACACAGTATATTAGTTTTACTATATTATGATAAATCGCAGCTGTATTTAAAAAAAAATAATGAGTAATGCTTACTCTTTTGTTTCAAATATTTATTCAAATTTTAAGTGTGTACTTATGTGCAACATGTACCTAATAAATAATAATTAATGGATTATAAAAAATGTGATTGACGAATTTAACGAAATATTTCAGTTATAGGTATATATAGCTATTAGAATAATGTTTATTATGAAAGTATGCACGATAAATAGTTAATCTAATATAACTTTGGTATAAGGCTCAATACTAAATTTAAAATTGTTTTAATTGTTCTTACTACGGGTAAACAAAATTCAAAAATTCAAAAATTCAATAGAGTTGAAAAAAAGGTTGACATTTTTTTAAATATAATACAGTGGAACCTCGATAAGACGAAAACCTAGATTACTCGGAAAAAAAACTATAAATAACTCGAACATTCTGTGTTCCGAATATAGACGGATAATGAAGGATTATTTTATAAACATTGGTCTAACGGCTTGTCCGTTCTCATAATTTGAAAATTGATAATAGAAAATTTCAAATTTTAAGTCAAAGTAAGATAACAAATTATCTATTATAAAGTTGCACCACATGTTTTATTATATTTATTTAAATTTAAATAACTTATATAATCTCATTTTTTTACATTGCATATAGTAATTAAAAACTTTAATACATGCCTACATATATTATTAAAACTTTTTTCGAAATTAGAATTTTTTTTTAAACCTTAGTTTCTCAAAAATCTTTATAAGTCGAAAACTCCGATAAGTCGAAAACATTACATTTCCGTCGAATTTCGCCTTATCGTGGTTCCACTGTACATACAAAACAGAAATAATATGAAGATAGATTGCCCGTTTACTTACAAAGGAGACAGTATAGTGACTTTGTCTTCCATAATAAATATTTGATATATATAGTATTTTCGAAAAATACCACAATCAATCCTGGAAGTTTAGAGAAGTCGTCGTAGTTCATATTATTATGTTATAACCTAAAGTTGTCTGCTCAAGCTTGTTATGTGTTCAGACTTATCTAATGGGAACCCAAACTTCAGTGTGGTATACGTATACCTAATGGAGCTATGAAGGACGTCATTTGTGCTTAAAATTTGTCTGATACTTTAAAGATAACAGTTAGGTTGTATAGCTATACAAACATTTGATGGAATAATAAATTCGGTTTCGGTATGATGGATTTATTGATTTGCATATCGAAATTTATTTGTATGATCGACGTATATACATTTATGTAGTACATACATAATACATATATATATTTCGGTTATATAACTGAGAGTGTGTATTGATTAGATTGTCGAATGTTGGTTGGTATTTTAAGAATGTACAAAATCTGTTATTATAGAAATCCCCGATGCTGCATGATGTTATGATTGGAGTTTCGGTAACCCCATTGTACTGGTTTTGATAGCGCGTT